GGTACTGCTAGGATATTGAAACCAGATGCTGTAGCCAGTATATTTTTATTTCCTAAGCATTTGTTACCAAAAAATGCTGATCCTCGCAGGAAAATAAGAAAACTCATAGGTACCTAGTTGATTAATTATGATAAAAAAGTATGTTTGCACTTCTTCAAATAAAAAAAAAAACTAGCTAGTAAATGATGTGGGCATGTTTGTGGGCAGTGACCTGATGGAAAAATAGGAACCTATGGAAATTATGCTCAAAATGGACCTCAGGTACTCAATACCATTCAAGAACCTCTTTTCAAATTTATCCTATCGTTTTTCTTTTCCTTCTGATAGTGCTGAGACATTGTGCTTCGCTCACCCTGTACAATATATTGTGACATTTGATTAAAAATATATAATTTCAATTTTGTATTGATTTGACTTCCTGATCCTGTAAGAATAAAAATGAAATTTCATTTTTAAGTCAATAAAAAATCAATAATAATTTTTTAATGATAATTGATTGCAACATTATCCTTTTTCCTAAATGAATATTCATATTTAATCACGTTTACTCTTAAATAAAAGCAAAAAACGTGAAAATATTTCAAATAATGCGAGCGCTTCCCATTAGCCAACATAAGATAGAAAGAGATAGATATCCGTAAATACTGCGGGATGCCTGAACAATATTTTTGCCTCCATCGTCGTTCACAGAGGGTCCCTTCCAGATGTTTATAGTGAGTTTATTGCGACAAACTAGCCTTATAACTTCTCCTACTTAGCTTTTAGCATAGATCAACTACTCTCTATAGATGTCCAACGTACATACATGTAAACCTCTTGTTTCATTTCGCCAGCGCCTCTGGAGTTTGGTAGCCCAACTATTTCGAATAGCGGGAATTTTGAATAATCTATATTATGTTGTATACAAATATATGTTGCTTAAGAAATGCCCTTGTAAATAGCGAAGGAGATGAAATGTCATGAACATTACATGCTTCCATCTCTTCTCTTTCAACCATTCACAGACACTGGAATGAAAATGGTCAGTAAAAATGATAGCAATAGATTAAAATGAATCATTTTTTCAATCACCTTAATTTACTCTAGAAACCTGTTTTGGAAAACGATGTCTGGAAGGTCCTGGCACTGCACTGCACTAGTCTCAAACTTCACTTTTGTTCGAATTGAAAGTCAACTATATTTTTGATTTATTTTATTTCTTCACTCTTGATTGAAAAATGAGAAAATTGGTTTGCATATTGTTATATCCTCTTTCATACCTTCACAGCAATTCCCAACATATTGGGTGACACATGGTATTGGGCTAACCCTGTAACTTCTGCATTCGTAGACGGTTTTTTTTTCTGAAATTTGGTACAGTTATACAGAGTGTCCGGAAACGTAATATCGTAAATGATAGTGCTGATAGAGTGAGTCAAAATAATATTAGTACTTCATATAAAAAACATTTCTACCGCACTTCGTTACGGAGTTATCGACCTTGAAAGTTTGAATAAAAAAACATATTTCATGTATAACTTTTGAACGGTTGCCATGGTATCAATGATATTCGGGCAACAAAATAAACTTATGATGCTTCTTTCGATATGTAAACGGCTGTTCAGTGATTATGTTTTATACAGGATGGGACGATATTTTCCGTCAAATGGAGGAATTTTTGACAGAGTTGAAGCTTGCATTTATAATCTACTAATAAAAAAAGACCTTATATGTTAGATTTTTTGAGTATAGTATTCTGATTTTCACAACTATGTAGAAGATGAAATACCTTGATAAGTACCCGTATAAGTATCGCAAAATTTGGTCAGCGTGTTATTTATGAAAATCGTTTCCATTTCTTCCACCTGAGAAATAATTGCTTTCAAAAGCTGGAGTATTTATTTTTAGTCTTATTTTTTTTAGTTCGGCTTCAATTTAATATTATTTCAACTTCAATTTATGGGAAAAAAATCACTGAATAATTCTCCCTCCAGCCCTTGGCATAATTGTATAGATCACCCTATATACAGACTTCAAACCGATCTATATTATTAGTTTATATTAATTTATGAGTTATAGTCTTCTAGCCTCGTTTCTATAGCATAAGATGAAAATGTGATGTATGAATTGCTGTGATGCAATTAATTACATAAGATTTATTTCAATGAGTTCAAAACAATGTTGATATCTCCACGTGTTATTATCTTAGCCATGATGTTTCCTTATTGGGATTCATTGCTTGCCGTGTTTGATGCATTCCACTGGGCTAATATAACGAGTGTTTTCTTCTGATCTATTCCAAACTGAATATAAATTAACAATTATGAAATTCAGACACGATCGGGTTCACGTAATTTTCCACTGTGAGCTCAAAAAATGAAAGAAGAAAAATCAAAGATGATTTATGTATATTTTGTTGTTTCAATGTATGTTTAGGCCATAATTGATTCATCACTCATTATACACAGCAAATAATTCTCTCAATGATATTTTATGGTTCCTATAAGCATCTATAACATACCAGGTGCTATTTAAGAATGTGGCCAAACTTCAAGGGGCAATTTTTTTAGGGGTTCTAGCAGGGCCGATCCTAGCGGGTGTGCAGCGCGTGCCCCGCACGCGGGCGGCCAAAACAAGGGGCGGCCGCAGGCCGCATATTGTCCTATCAAACAAAATTATTTGAAACTCATAAGTCGAATGAATATGCTGCATTTTGAATAAATAAAATGATAGTAAATAGTGTGTTGGTCCAATGTCAATTAATGTCTACTTTTTATACACATTCTTATCTTCCCAAATTTTAAATTTCTATTTGAAACAATAACCAAGGGGCATATTTTTCAGACGCCTAAGGATGTTTTGTTCCATCACTGTGCGGTAGCTTATTTATGCATTTCTACTACTTACTAAGAGACCATGAGAGAAAATCCCAAAAAATCTGGAGAACATCCACTTGGTTAAACTACAGACACCATTTAAAATACTTTTCACTTGCTCTTCTTATTGTACTTATTTTCAGATTCCAGATCATTTTATATCAATTACAATAAACTGTAATATACTAATGTGATGAATTTGAATCCCAACAAAAATTTCGCCTGCGGCGCATTTTTTGCCATAGGAAAATTTTGTCTGAGTTTCTTGGCCGCTCCCGGTATGCACTGAAATGGAGTTATTACCTGAAAGCATTTGACCTTGAACTCAGAAAAAATTCGCCTGCGGCGCATGAAGATTTTGTCTACATTTTTTTCTGTGTTTTACTTCTTATCCTTGTACAAGTAGTTGAAGTTATGAAGTCATCAGGTATTATAGTTAAAAAATATGAAAAATTCTCTAGAGGGGCGGCACATTAGGTTTATGCACGCGGGCGGCCGACACCCTAGGATCGGCCCTGGGTTCTAGGATGAAAAGTTCGTATCACCATATTTCCGAAAATCCATAATTTTCAAGATACATAGTGTCAAACTTTATTCAAAAAATATTTTATAGCGAGGTTTTTCTTAAATCTAGTACTGGCTCAATTACAAATAACACTGCAATATTTAAAAAAAATTGGATAGGAGATTTTTGCAATATTCACGGAAAATCAATTCATCAATCATCAAAATTCTATTGAACACTATCAAAATGATTGGCACTTACACCATTTCCGTATTTTTTTGTCGTATGAAATAATGATTGTTGTTATTTGGTCCGATAGCCATTAAGAATATGACGATATCAGCGCTTCTCGGAATTTCTATGAACAACAATCTTATAAGTGTCGTCAGTTTCTGACCAATATAACCATGGCGACCAGCCCTGATTGAGAACACCATATTCTTATGAATATCTCAGAAAGAAGGTAAGCCACTCTCGAGATCGATCGAACTAGAGATCATGTATCATGCGCATTTAGAACCTGTTATTATGTATCCGAACACCAAGAAATAAACCCGAAAATCTCGGGTTGTTGAGATATGACATATAGCGGTCTAGATAGCAGTTATATCAGTTAAAATATAATAAAAACTCTCCAAGTCGTCTCCACAACGTTTAATTCCAAATTCAAGAAGGGTGGGACATGTTTAGGACCCAAAAGGTATCCATCATCAGCCAGAAAGAAATTATTCTACAAAGAACAACGAACCACTAAGTAGGTATATCAAGTAACAGATTGGTACTCACGTGGAGAAGAAAAAGGCAAAAACATGGTTAGAAAGAGCATGTTAAGAAGATTATTGGAACATGTTTATAGTTTTAAATAAAATTTGAAATGAAATAAACAGGTATCATTATTTAAATTGGGCCCTGTACCCCAGATATTTGCTCAACGACCCCGTACATTCGGTAGCAGCAAGCAATCACAGAATGATTGAAAAAAAATCTGTCGGATTTTTTTTCCATTTTGCACTCCAAGAGGTGATGATAATATCTACTACACACTCATCAAAAATATTAAGGGAAATAAGCAGCCCCTATCTTTCTGCTTGGCTTGCATGTCAAAAAAGTTCAAACAATAACGTTTTTTTTTTAAGCAATGACGAGCTTTAGCCGGGGTCTCCGCAGTTCGTACTCAAATTCATATAGTATCATAAACCGAGCTAATATAGCTTTGTGTAAACATCTCATTGTTTCCATTCGAGTATACATAGATGATTTTCATGCTTGATGAATATATTTCTTTATATAAACACATAATGTTTCAACATAAGAGATTTTTATTCACAAACTTGTCAGTCTATGTTTGACACTTGACAGGAACATGTAAAATGTTCAGGTTAGGAATAAAAACTGGAAACTGTCACAATATGGGCGATTTTCGCAATTGTTGTTTCCAATGAACATACAATATTATATCTCTCGCCTACAAACTAGCTTTTCATTTAGATCTTCAATGGTTGAACAATTTTCTTATACACCTTGGCACTCTAGCCACTAGTTGGCTTTGAAGGCTACATCGTCCTTCTGCCCCCTCCGGGCTCCGACCTGAATCCCATTAAGTGTGCCATCTTTTAGAATTCAGTAATCTTCCCTTGCAGCTACCTCTATCCCGATGGCAGGACGGTGAACCCCGACCTGTCGTGGGCCGTGCAGCCCAGCCAGGAGGACCACATCGCCGTCACGCAGGAGCAGTACGAGCTGTACTGCGAGATGGGCAGCACGTTCCAGCTGTGCAAGATATGCGCCGAGAACGACAAGGACGTGCGCATCGAGCCGTGCGGCCATCTGCTGTGCACGCCTTGCCTCACCGCCTGGCAAGCTGTAAGTATCGATCGATAATCTAAGAATATTGAACTCCTAGCTACTGCTCAGATAGAGAGAAAGAGAGAGAGAGGGAAAGAAATTGATTACAACGGCATTACAACGCAAGAGTGAGACGCCAGGTGCAACAATATTAGCTAATGGTTGGGTACAAATTTCGATCCACCATGCCAATGGGGAAATTTCTATTATTGACGTTTTTATCTCACTGTAAAATTTGTAAAAACTCAATTCATACATGTTTTCTCTTTTTTTCGTAAGATCAAATTTCACTTCAGAAAAAAATAAACTAGAAAGTAACTTGGCTCCTTCATCATTCCTAAGACGTACTTTATGAAAAGCCACATTCACACAGAGTTGAAATACGATTCATCAAAATGTATAGATTTCCGGATATTGTTCTTTGCATACATCATAACTATCCTAACAGCAATTTGGATAAGAGGTTTTTCGAACCTACTCCGTCAAGTATTATGAATAATTTTCATAAATATCTCATTTGCTGGATGGGTTTGATTAATAATCGCGGTCGCCAAGGTCATAAGATGAAGTTGCGATGACATTCAAAACTACGGGAAAACATGTCTCATTTTCAAACTATGCCAGGAGTAAGTATGTTTTCCCGTAGTTTTGAATGTCATGGCAACGTTATATAATGACCTTGGCAAACGCGAAATAAAGGTTCATTATGATATTTTGTAATAATATCATTATTCTTCACTTTCGTTACAAAACAACATGATAACCATAACTTGTCAGTCGTTTTTTTAAATAAAATACTAAAATACTAACAGGCACACTCGGAGCTGATCTGATCTTGTTGTTATATAGATAGATAGATAAGATAGATAGATAGATAGATAAACTTTATTTTCCTTTTGACAATTACATTTCAAATTGTATAGTAATCGTCAATACAGTCTTACAAACTAAAGGGACATATACTCGTCTACACTATAAAAACAGTTATGTAACAGAAAGTCTTTCAATCTTCTTTTAAACATGGCCAATGTTTCATAGTTTTTCATATTGACTGGCAGTAATTTGAAAATTCGTGGGGCCATGAGATTAGGAGAACTGTATGCTAATTTACATTTACCAAATGGGACATATACATCATTTTTTTGCCGGGTATTCACATTATGTTTGGATTTATTGGGAACAAAATATTTATCATAATTTTTATATACAAACACACAATATTCAGATATTAAAAGACAAGGTAACTTAAAAATTTTATAGTTGATAAATATATTTCTGCAGGATTCTCTCATAGGAACACCTACCATTATTCGTACTATTCTTTTTTGAGCTATAAAAACATCTTTCCATTGTGAAGATAGGCCCCAGAAACATAGACCATACCTTAGTCTAAAGTCAATCTGAGCATAATACAAGGTCAACAATTGATTCATATTCAAAACTAGTTTTAAGTTTCTCAATTGATATGATATTGTGTTCAATTTCTTTGTTAATAGTGTACAATGGTTATGCCACCCCAAACATTGATCGATAGAGAGTCCCAGGAATTTGGTGCTTTCACTATCTGTAATAACAAGATCAGAATTTTCCTTTGCCTCACACTTTTTCTGTTTTTTGTTTACCAGTTTTACTTCTGTCGATTTTTGATCTCCAGTTATTCGTCAGCCTGTCTACAGTTTATAGTTAGTTGGTTTGTTAGTTAGGACACACTGTACAGTGAGACCAGTTTTCGATGCTTTTCCACGATATCTCTGTTATCTATGGAGGTGAGTGTTGCGGTTTTCACATTACTGTCTTACTTTTTTTTTAACGAATAATGCCGCAAAGATTTTCAGTCCTTCAAAATTTTTAAGATACAGGACGAATGTTTTTGGAAAAATTGATATTCATCATACTGGACGTGGAAAGAAATTCTGAATTGAGAATAACTAATCACGAATCTGCTATTAAAGGTCTTCAAAAATAACAAGTTTCCATCGTTCAAGTTTGAACCCCTTGATTGAGTGAAAGTATTGAAAAGTAATATTCGCAGATGAAATTGTGAACATTAAAAAATGGATACATATATATATGAAGAAATACATTGAGAATTCGCATTCTATATGTGATGAAACTAGCTATTCCTTCTCGGTTTATTCAACAGAAAACAACTACTTTCCTGGCTATATGCCACGACGAACATTGAATTATATCTATTGAACATACACGATACGAATTTGAAAACAAAATCTTCTGAAGTTGAAAATTCGCACTCTCCTTCAGATAAAAATATGTATATGCACATAATATTTTGAATATTCAACAGAAAACAACTACTTTCCTGGCTATTTGCCACGTCGAACATTGAATTATATCTGTTGAACATCCAAAAGGAGAGCACGAACAATCTTTCACACACTTATAGTCTTATTGTTTACATTATTCAACATTTACAAATATTCAGTACTATTTTATCGACTATTAAAGCGGTGTACTTACCTTATTAGTAGGTGGTTATGAATAAATAAGCGAGTGTATATAGAATGTTTTTTAATCCTTATCACCTACCTGTCGAATTTAGAAATTTTTCATACGATGGTGAATACTAATCCAGGATATGAAAACTACAAAAAAATAGATATTGTTTGGATATAAGTTGGTTAAAAATGTTCGTATTTTTGATATCCTGGCATGAAAATTTAGAAAATTCGACAGGTAGGTGACAAAGATTATGAAACATTCTGCACTCGCTTGTTTTTTCATAGCCACAAACTAATTAGGTCCACATCTTTCATTGTAAATTTGAAAATTCGTGATATGGACAATGTTGCCACATATTTACCAGACCCATTCTTGAAATATCTACTGATCTACTATATATTTTTTTAGAAAGCTCAGAGCATCAATATTTGAAATATAAAAAAAAATTAAAAAACATAACTTTGGGTTATATCTGGATAATAACAGCTTATTCTGAAAATCTGATTACGCCACTGGATTCTATGTAAAAAAATGTATGAGCGACAGTGTTTGCTTTTTCGATAAGTGAATGATTTTTCAATCTTGCCCTGTAACTAAAAAACAAAGCTAGTTATGAAAATTTTGTTTGTGGTGTCGTTAGTTTTACAAAAAAGTAGCCAACATTCGCGAAAACCGCAAAACTATCTTTGAAAATAAGTGAGATATCCCGTAAGGACATTGAAAATGACACAGCCTGTACAGGGGTGGGGTGGACCCAATTGTAACACACTGCATATCCTTTCACTTAGGGTTCCGAGGGCCAAGGCAGCCAGGGCTGCCCCTTCTGCAGGGCGGAGATCAAGGGCACCGAGCAGATAGTCGTCGACCCGTTCGATCCGAAAAAGTCCCATCAGAGGCCTAAAAGCGTGCCGGCATCGACGTGCAACGCCGCCAGTCTGGACGAAGATGACTTGGAATTAGAGGTAGCCAACGATAAGTCTAGCTGTAATGACTACGCTGAATGAGTTAGAGTGAGAGATAGTGAGACCCTTGTCGTTCTAAATGAGAACCTAGTAGGCGAGGTATAATCACAGCACAAGGATTAAACAGCAGCGTCACTTGCATCCGCGGTACATGCATTCGAATGAGTGTTCCTGTGTACTTGACACTGCGCAGTTTTGACGTTTTTTGTATATTAGACAATCAGACATAACCACAAATAAATTGATGGAAAAAGCGGGAACTCACAGTACACGGACATACATGACATAAATTTAAAAGGTTTTAAAAATTGAGAGAATTAGGAAGAAGGTGCAGTTTCTAACTGTGAGAACACGGGAAATCAATTCACTCTATTCGAATTTCCATCGGGTAACGTAATTCTACAAAAATGGGTTCAGGCCACAAAATTTGCGAAGTATTCAAATTTCTTGGTAGGATATAGAACATTTTCCAACACATTTTTATCAGGTATACGTCAGAACGGAAGTCGGAAGATTTGTTATTGAAGATTAGGATCGTATTGAGAAAAAGAGCCGAACCCACAATTTATAAACTGAGGGAGTATTGAAAAGAATTATTCAAATTTAGAACCAACAAGAGACGAAGAACTTGCAGATAATGAAATTCATTTCTATCATATTTTGAAAGAAAAAGACTTGAGAATGATCTTCCGATGGCAGGGTTCAAGACAACAATCCCCTTTAGCAATGTGAACGGCGATCTATAGTGAGTCTTGGAGAACCTTTATTATTCATCTTAGCTGAAATCAGCTGTTATTGTTGCCATATCATGTGTTCATTTATTAATTACTTATTACCTACCACTTTTGTACAAGTGAAATTGTTCCATACGAAATAAAAGTATGTTTCATTGGTTGAAATATATCAGTTTTTACCCCATTCTGAACTTTTGTGATTCAACTGAACATATATATATACCTACATATGAGAGACATATTTCATTGGAATAGTATATGTATTTCGTTGGTATATATGTACATACCAACTTGATATCGACCTCCATTGAAATCCTTCAGCCTTATCATTCAATATTTCGAGAAGAAATGATTTTCTAATCAATTTTTCATACCCTTTTACCCACTCGAGGAGACGCAATGCACTCTCATAAAAAAATCGAAGACAGAGAAAAATATATGGATGTACTCTTCCCAGGACTTGTGGAGGAAGGAAGATGCTAGGATCCTTAATCTAAGCGAAACTCATATTCTTGTCCTTGTCTGGCAAAACATGTGATTTGATTCAAAATCGTTTGTGGTTATGTTTGGTTGTCACTGCTTGTCTAGTGGCCGTACTGTAATATGCAAAAAACGTCAACATAGCAGTGTCAAGTACATTTAGGAACTCTAGCGCGTGGCTTGTTCAACTGCATCCCCACAACATGGCGCGGGATGTTATGCGCGTACTTAGCTATTTCAACGAAGTGACGCTGCTGTTTAATCCTTATGCTGTGGTATAATATTGTCTGTTCACTGACACAGAATATGTATGCTTGTCAATGACGCTGGTTTGGGCAAACAGTACGGGGTCCGTATATTTGATCAGCTTCTACAATCTACAGGGTTGATCATTAAAGAAATTTTAAAATGCAGAAGTTGTAGGATTTGTTCTGAAACTCTAGAAAATTGTACGAGGTGAAACAAATCAATATCGATGATATAGGAAATGGGTACCAATTTCGTTATTTTCAATAGAACTCCCTCTTTACCTTTTGTGCGCTGCAAGCGATAAAACAATGTATCATCATACTTCTCCATTTTGACTTAACGAACACCTCGCATAATACATGAGAGTCTCGGTGACATGATAGATTCCAATGAGTGGGCATGTGCGAAAACAGCAACAACGAACGGAATGCGAACGACAACCGACAACATTCAATGTTGCTAAGTTTAACTATAAAAACATTAAAACTGCGGGACATGCAGTAGGTAACCTCAATTTATAACAAAATCCTCTCACTGGTCTAAAAAGTTGGGGAATTGAATATTATAATAATGTCAATTATGTTTATGGGCAACAAGCGTTTGAGAAATGTAACACCGGTGCCCTCATTAGTTAGCATCTGTAAATGTATGCCCACTACAAACGCTCACTGGTTTCAACAGTTTGTCAGTTTGCGAAGCCCTGTACAGAGAGAAATGTTCATGATAGGCTCTGGACCCGCAGGACGGGCAGAAGAGCTGCTTCGGCTCTTTCGTTGCCATCTATCCTGCTGTGTTTATGAACCCAAAGTAGTTCAATACGGTTTTCACTCGCTATCAGAAAGGTTCCGTTTGCAATCTAAAACCAACCGAGATACAACTCTGGGTGCTCGTCGAGCTTTGTGAGCGGTCTGAACGTCGGAGCAGATGTAGATGCGCTTATTATCCAAGGTGTTGAATATCTTCGTAGTCTTGGTCCTGTTAGTGAGATTCTCAACTCGAGACCCATCCGTGAACCAATGTTACATTCATATGATATTTCAGTATTATGATTATTTCCACTGGCTTACTTATGCGTGAAACATCGAATTGTTTCTACTAATCACTCATACTTTTTCGTTTGTTAGTTGACAACCTATGTAGGTGTCATTTTCAGAGGGATGGCAAAGTTATCAACATTAAGGTAAATAAGCAGTTCCTACCTTTCAATTCTCAGATAGCATGCCATCATTTCAATAAAGTGCAAAAAGTAATGATAAACTTAGTTCGAAAATAGAGGTCACTGGATTCCTGAGAACATCGTCGATAATGGCGATTTTCGCTTTTTTTTTTTCAGTGAACAGATAATATCATACATTGCCTACTAGATTTCCATTCAGAATGACAATGGTGAGATAGAGAGAGAAGAATCTTTAGAGGTGTCCAAACGGTTATTGTCGAACGCGAACGGTTGATAGAAGGAAAGGTTGTGAGAGGATAAGAATATACATGGTGGTCAAACTTTTATTACTAATATTCGAGGAATCGAATCGGTAGAACTTGATCAAATAATGATATCAGTTTCTGTTATTCAGTGCTATAACCGGTTCAGCCGCAAATCGACGGACGAGGTGCTTTTTATTTAATTACCCTATTAGTATCTTTAACTTCTGTTATCTATCACAGATCCAACATGTTTATTTTTCGACATTAGAAATTTCCAAAGCGCAATTTCATGACATTGAAGTTAAAACAAATAGTTTTCAAAACAAACAGGTTCAGATTATCTGAAGTTCTCGAAAGGTAAAAATTCAGGTAATGAATGGGAGAATTGAGAAATGTATTGAAATATTACCAGTGACGTACTACTAAAATTCTATAGATTTTATCAGCAGGGCTTGAAATACATATTACTCAGCATATCTTATCGAAATTTTATGACATTCATTCAATGCATATTAATCCACTTAGTGTACCTACAAAATCTCGTGGAAATACAGAGCATGTTAATTATTAGAAAGAGATAATATCATTTCATCGAGTTCTATTAATTCCTCCAGTATTAGGTATTCATCACGATACAAAGAAAGCACTGTGAAAATAATAAAAGTATTCCTCTCATATAATTTCTTCAACTCACACTATTCTAGCAGACGTGCGTCATCTCACCAAACGATGCGAATCGACTTGTGTTTAGTGTTTTAGTACAATCCACCGACATGAATTACTAACTAGACTGCTAATGCCATGAGATCAAAGCATTTACCAGGACCTGGCAATATCTTACTCACTCTTACTTACGTTTCCGAACACCTAAGACATGACTTGATGCCATGAACGACAGTTTGGTTGTTCATGCGCATTGAGCAGAAGCGTTTTCAGGCGAGCAATTTGGATGAGATTTTAGGGTTGCTGGGATATGGGTCTAGATGTCTAGATAATAGTTATGTCAGTGGGACAATCTCATTGGAATCACTATTTTGACGAATGAAGAAGTACGAAAATACTCCGTTCATATTTTCAATATGGCAGATTCAAATTCGTTGCTTGTTGTACTGAAAATTCAAGTACATTGAAAACAATGTGGAATGAATGAAACGTACTAATAATCTGAACAGTGGATGTTAAAATACAAATATATTCACGTTAAAATACAAATAGATTCACCTTGATTGTTATTTGATCATGAAGAAGAGTATAGGAGGTACCTACCTGGTTCATAAAGGTATCAAATTCCTGAAATAAAAATGAATTTATTGATAGTTGATGAAAGCAACAGATTAGTGGGAAACCGGTGTTTCTAAATCCACCTTCCAACACATTATACCAAGATGAAGGGAAGTCATTTAGTCTCGAAAACTAGAAAACATAAGATGTTCAGCAGTTTTGGTGGCTTCTTCAGGTTACAAAACTGGTACAACATAATTGTAATATAAAGCTACTGGCATGTTCCTAAATTTGCTAGGATTATAATTATGGAAATCCGAATCAGTACAAAAAAGAAATCTTATGGAAATCCGAATCAGTACAAAAAAGAAATCTTGAAATAGATTAGTTGTTCCCATTTTTGAGTCTATGAAGATAATGAAGATGCTGAAGATGCGCTATTGTTTCTTCAATTATTGTTGTAGGTACTTGATACTATTCCCTAAAAATGTTAACTCATTTCACTAATTTCCAGAATTCCGAAATGTATTCGATGTACGTGAACTAAATCAATCTTTTTGAAACAGAAGAACACTCATTGTATATGATATTTTGGATAATTCACTCCTCCTTTTATGTTTTGACACCTCTGAAATGTTCTGTTTGCCGTCTTCCCGCCTATTTTGGCTGTGCTTCACGTTTACCTGTTTTATTTTTTCATTGTTCTGTTTCAACGTGCTTATCCATATTGCGCTTTTGTGTATTTGTGGGAGTAAAAAAAATTGACCAGCAGTTTGTAAGAAATCATCTTTCGGGTTTAAACAAGAAATGTTACTCATCAAGGTCAATTTTTTCATGCATGTTGATGGTGAATCACACAAATATCATTTTGAACAGCACATTAGAAATTAAATTGGTTTTTATTCTGTTGAAAGTAATTCAGATACAGACAAAATGTGTCTTGAGACTGATTCATTCACAGAAGAACTATGTAATCACTGAACCAGAAATATAAAACCACGTACAGGGTGTTTCAAAGCTGTAGTGACAAGAGACTAGGCAGATTTCACAAAGCAAAATAATGGGAACAAGTTGAATTTAAAAAAAGAGTTTTCAATTATATCTGGAAAACGGCTCAGCCGATTTTGAAGAGATTTCCACGGTTTAGTTGAATAATTATTATACTTCTACTGGACCAATTATTTGATTAAGAATTTCCAGGAGGGGAACCAGAAAGTGAGACGGTGTTTTTTTGCAGAAAAAATATCACCCAGTCGATTTTTGCGATTCTCATCAATTATTCAAATGAATACACTAAAATTACAACCTTTTTGAATCATATATAATTATCTCTAAACTGCAAATGTACTTCCATATTTTCACTGTGATGCTATCAATGAAAAACTTATTTTAAATAAGCCAACACCCTGTATCTCGGAAATGTTCCATCTTGCTCTTCTTTGCTTCTGTCACTACAACTCTGACACACCCTGTGTATCTTGAATATTTGGTTTACCCACTGTAACGAATACCAGTGATCTCATTACAGTATATTCACTTCTTATTAGAACCTTATTGGATGATATTTCTTATTTTTATCAAGTATTACAAATTTTAAAATTGAAAATTTTATTTATTATGCCTTGTAATGTAATTAATTACCGATATAGCCGATAGTCTTATAATTGGATTTGAATTTTAAGCTTTACTTGTATATAAAAATTATAATTAGGTCTCAGTTTTAAGTGTACATTTTTTCTTTCATGTCCGGAAAGTATTATTGACATTTAAATATTGTTTAACACTAGAAGAATAATTTTATTTTTATTTATAATACACTATTTTCTCATCAACACTTTTCGTTTTATTTTATCGAATATGTTTTTTGCAACCTTGTGTTTAGGCTTCAGCTAATAATTTTATGAAAGACTGTAAGACGGTAAGTTTATCGTCCTGGCACTGGCACCAATGCTTTCGGAGCTTTGCATGCAAAAAAAACGTCACAGGAGTACCGAGATGTCAAGAAATCTAGGATGCTTAGGTAAGTTTCATCATGTCAATTGTTCATTGAGAAATAAAATGAATGTAATGTCGATAGGAAAACATTTTGATTACTTTTCATTGCAGGATGCGGGTGAGATATGGAATTGTGCCGGTAGCAGTCTTCACGCCCTGTCAATAACCCCGAGGAGTGATATTAATGTGAGTCTTATGTGCACATCGTAGATAAATGATAGTTTTAACAAAAAGTCACTCGAGTTATACCACTGACCTATGAACAACGAATGGAAGGACAGTGCTAGTTCTCAGGAAAATTAAAGAGGTCTTTGAGCTTCATTCATTTTCTGCCTTAAGTTGTCATAGTTTGGGTGGATCGGTCCTCCAAAAGCTCTATTTTGAAACTTTTTCTTGTAAATAAAGAACATGTATCCTCTTTTCACATACCCATGACTTCTCAATAGTAGGCTGAGGATGGGCATCGTGGCAATATTGATTATTTTAGCACCTTGAAATATGAAATTGAAAGGAAATTGAGTAATGATTCTATTTGAGAGTTAAAAACAATAGTCCACTACCATATTATTAAGGAAGCGAAGTTCATATAAACATGTGTCCTAACTTGATTCGTTTTTGATATACAGGATGTTGAAGTTGGAAGTATTAATTGTTTTTATTTATAACGCCCCTGTTTAAGATTTCATGGTGCCAAAATTCAGTATGGTTGTAGATTGTCCCAACATTTCAAAATGATTCTTATTGAGGTTATTGAGTAATCTCAACGAACGTTTCGAGAGCACCTACATCAAAATTTGGAGTCAAATCGAATTTTTATTGTTTCCTCAAATTCTAAGCAAGATTTAAAAAAACACAGATATGATAAGAAAGTTAATATTTCAATTGTTCAATCTTATAAAAGTATGAAAGTCTGAAAAACCAGTGGCGTACAATGATATTAACAGTAATAATCGATAAATTAACCCACTTTGACGCCGCTGAAAATATTATTTTGGATTTAATCGCATCAAAAGGAGCTCCATGTTACATTAAACGAAACCACCAAGTTGCATTGAAATTGGTGAAAAGACATTTCAGTAATGATTGAAAAAATGATTTTTCATGGAAATATCAATACCCTGTATCTCGAAAACGAAGCAAGTCAGGACACATGTTTATGTAAACTTCATTTTCTAAATTCCCTGAAGTTTGTCGCACTTTTTCATTAACACCCTGTATACAGATTGAGTCAATAGTGTGTTCTCCTTCGATACCGTAAGATATATAGAAAAAATTCAAATACAACAGTTATAGGGTTTCATGGAAAGTATCACTTGAAATAATTTTCATATCTATAGGGTATTCGAATTCCAAGATATCGGCTGATGATGGTTTTTGTTAATGGGACACCCTGTATATTATTGCATTTTTAGGTTCTTCCTGAAGAGCTTATCTCAATAGCAGGATTATAGAGATATGGGGTGTTCAGAATCGAGATTTTTCAATTAAATGTCAAGATACGGACATGCAAGTTTTGATCGATAATGAATAGTCTCGACAAGAAAAAATCCAAAAGTTGAAAAATCTCGATTTTGAACACCCTATATCTCTGTAACCATTCCTGCTAGACCCCAAGTGTGAACCTAAAAATGCAATAATATACAGGGTGTATTATCAAAAAAACATTATGAGCTGATATCTTGGAATTCGAACACCTTAAGGTGAGTTCCCAATGAAGCTTTCCAGCTTTTTGTGTCACGCGTCACGCACAATAAGGTTTTTTGACGCGTAAATGAGAATTGCTGCACTGTTTTCCATCATTTACTTCAGTTCCCAATGAAATTACCTACCCTTGTCGATCTGGTCGAAGTTTGCATTGAAAAATCATGAGAATATTGAATAATGTTTGCAAGATATGCAGAGCTGCATTAGATAAGAATGAGATAATCAGGTAATGATTTACTTATCATGAGATCACTTTCTGAAATGAGGGTTTAATGAAGTTGCATTCAAAATTTCTACATTTTTATGAAAAATCTTGTGTTGATCGAATTCATATTACTTCAATTAATATCAAGGTTCCAGGAACATTACCGCAACGCAACACAAAGCAGCAACGCCAAAAAGTTGAAATTCTTAAACTTCATCGCGTTTAATATTTTTCAAATTCAGCGTCACCAATCAGGTTGCATGACGCGCGAATTTTTTCTATATATCTGACGGTTTGGCTTATATCGAAGGAGGACACACTATCGACTCACCCTATAAACACCGTGTCCCTCCAGGCCTCCGCCAGCCCGATGATATCCCCGGGCGGCAGCCCGAAACACCAGCGCCGGACCGCCCCCGCCGCCATACCCACCGCCGCGCCTCCGCCCCTGCCGCCCCGCAAGAGCTCGCCCACGCATGACCGCCCACAGTCCGTCACCAATCTAACGCACGCTCAGTCGGCGTCTGCCCGGGGCGGCCTCAGCGAGGCGCAGTCCGTCACCAATCTGACGCACGCGCAGTCGGCGTCTGCCCGGGGCGGCCTCAGCGAGGCGCAGTCGGTGACCAATCTGACGCACGCGACGATCGAGGTGCCGCCCCCGCGGCTGCCCAAGAGCAACTCGATGCTGCACATCGAGCTGGACGGGGTGGAGCGAGAGGTGGAGCTCAGCTCGCCGGAAACCATTTACGGTGTGGTCATACAGAACAGCGACTACTACGACAGGTGAGGAGGTTTTAGTTATTCATTATAGAAGGTAAAAAAGTAGTAGATTATAGCTCGAGTTCGGCTGAAGCCTCGGGATCGGCCGTGGGCCCACCATGTACACACGGCGTCGGGGTGGGGGTAGCCCGGGTGGGGGTAGCCCCAGGAGACTCCAGACACCACTGGTTAAAAGCTTGAGGTCCCCACTCTTGTCATAGCAGCGGTACGTGTAAAGGGTCGCGAACGGACACCCATCAAACGGGACTGGAGGATTCCGGTCGACATGGGTGGCTGGGCTTGCTCAATGGGACGAGAGGATTCTTGTCAACATGAGTAGCAATCAGGCCAAAGCCTCTTGCGACGGTGACCCATCAAACGTAACAAGATGAATCTTGTTGACATGGGTACCTGCGGTGATGAGGATAGCCCCATCAGGTCGTACATACGGCCTGATGCCTCACCAATTCGGTTGGACTACAGGGGCAGCGGTTTCCAAAAAACACCACCGGACTACGGTAGAGGAGGTGAAGAAGAATCCCACTATGGGTCAACTGGGAGGATATCTTGCCTGCCTCGGCGAGTAAGCAGCGTTTCTGCTCGGCACTGACACTGCAGAGCCAGTAGTCTGTATTATCAGACGACATCACGACATCACCATTGGTATAATAAAATGGTAGCAGGAGAACATGCCGTTACATAACGGAGATGGCTCTAGCGCGCTGATTTGGCGTATCCAAATCCTCCATTTCTCCCAGGGGTGCTGTCGGTATAAGTCGAGATAGTTGACAGGCAGTCATCCCTTATGGGAGTCTTGTGAGAGGGGGGTGGGATTTGAACCTATCCGGTTGCTACTCCGGCAACATACTGATTGATGAAGCCTAGGGATATAATCTTAAAAACTGCAAGGCCCTATATGTACAGCTCTTGAGACGGACTGTACATTTTCAGCAGATGTAAATGAATGTTTGCCAAATTCGCACGCGTTTGCACAACAATTCATCCTCATTGAGACTAAAGTGAAAATAGAACACGGTGGATGTGAAGGCTTGCTCTCATTAGTTGTTGGTCACTGATGACTATTGGTAATTTTATCATTGGATCACGTCATCAACAGCTAGCGTTTCCGAAAAGTGCCGATTTTTGCTATTGATTCAAGAATTTGTGATGATTTTAAATTTCAAATAACGAATGACTCGTGTGTACTTCAGTTCCTCAATGTACTTGACACTGCTGTTTTGACGTTTTTGTATATTTATAGTACGGACAAACTATGGCTACGTTCAGCGACAGGTTTGACCACAGTAGTCCGACCACAACAAGCAAAGCAGTTCTAAACGAGATTCGGTCCATGCGTGGACAACAGTCACCTAAATGCATTCTAATTTTCGTGGTTGTACGTTGTTTCATTAGTGCGTTTCAAGTGGATCTGGAATTTTACTCCACTCATATAAGCTCGGTATAAACAGAAACTATCAGAAGTATTAACATGAGTGCTCACAATACTATCGATTTTAATTCTGTCAGAAATCAGCGAGTTCCAACTGCTTAATAATGGGAAACTCATCACCAATCGCTGGTTTCTGATCTGTGCCATTCTTCCATTGGGCTTGGATCGATTCATAGCACGGTTCTTTTTCGATCTAAAACAGTTCGAATTTAATCTCGAATTTAGGATTATTTGATAATGAAATGAGAAACTGTTTTCAAATTCCAGAACAGATAGCCAACAATTTTCTCCTTAATGAGAAACACTATACAGGGTGTTTCATTGGGAAAGGTAAATAATTCAACTGTGAATAGGATTCACTGGAGTGATTTAAAAAAACCCATGGTTAATGGGTCTTCGACTTCTTATAACCGAGATACAGGATGTTTCATCAATTTTGTCCATATCTTCATTGTCTCATAACTTTCCAACCAACCTGTATATATTTTAAAAAATTGGTACACTTGCTCAATCTACCCTGTGGAATTGATTGAGGCAACAACAAAAGATAAAATCCAGGTCCGGCTTCACTTAAAATTCGCAAATTCTTTCTGCCAGAAAACAACACCCTATACATTCGAATTTCTCATTTTTTTTGCCATATCTGCAAAGAACATCAAAATTTCTATTCAACGATGTCCTTCTTATTCGTGCACAGACGATTTTAACTATTCATATTATGAGCTCAAAATACTATTTTTGCTCATTTTGGGGTACAAAATTGGAATCAGGCGAGATTTATTGATTTTATTACTTCCTATTCAGTATACGTGAGTTACATTTGGAAGGAGTATTTCATATCGTTCTTTGTTCCAGACTTAGTTGCAGGTCCGCCATCAAAACTATACAGGGCTTTTCACGATAAGCGTTAATTAGATGTTTCTGGCAAACCAGGCAACGGATAAATCTAAAAATTCGAAGGTATGTATAAATTGACATAATCTACACTACTGAAATATTTGAAACAATCCGGCGTTGCCGCTTCTATTAGAAAGTAGCAGCAACTTCGATTTTTCAAATGGGACACCCTGTATTTCATTACATTCTTGGATTCTTGCTGAACAACAGAATTCATCGATTCAAAACATTCAAGGTCTAGCGGGACTGATAACTGAGATATAGGATGTGGAAAATCGGGATGTTTCAACTTTAGAAATATTTTGTGTTGAAACTATTCATTATTGCATCCTATCTCAACTTTCCATTCGATATTCAATTGAAACAGATACAGGGTGGTGCAAAAATCTGAATTATGAACCATCCTGTATTTGTTTCGATTAAATGTCAATAGATACAAAGTTAAGATAGGTACATAAAAGCCGTTTTGATCAATAATAAATATTTTCGCAAGATAATTCTAAAGTTGAAACATCTCGATTCTTCTCACTCTAAATATCTCAGTTATCAGTCCTACTAGACCCCGAACTTTGTGAATCGATTAAATCAGCTCTTCAGGAAGCATCCAGGGTGTCCCATTGGAAAAATCAAAGTTACTGCTACTTTCGAGTAGAAGCGGCAACGCCGGATTGTTTTAAATATTTCAGACGTGTAGATCATGTTAATTTATACATACCTTCGAATTTTTAGATTTATCCGTTGTCTGATTTGCCAGAAACATCTAATTAACGCTTATCGTGAAAAGCCCTGTATAGTTTTGATGACGGACCTGCAACTAAGTCTGGAACAAAGAACGATATGAAATACTCCTTCTAAATGTAATACTCACGTATAAAATTAATAAATCTCGTCTGATTCCAATTTTGTACCCCAAAATGACCAAAGATAATATTTTGAGTACATAATATGAATAGTTAAAATCGTCTGTGCACGAATAAAAAGCACATCGTTGAATAGAAATTTTGATGTTCTTTGCAGATATGGCAAAAAAATGAGAAATTCGAATGTATAGGGTGTTGTTTTCTGACAGAAAGAATTTGTGAATTTTAAGTGAAGCCGGACCTGGATTTCATCTTTTGTTGTTGCCTCAGTCAATTCCACAGGGTAGATTGAGCAAGTATAACAATTTTTAAAAATATATACAGGTTGGTTGGAAAGTTATGAGACAATGAAGATATGGACAAAATTGATGAATCATCCTGTATCTCGGTTATAAGAAGTCGAAGACCCAACAACCATGGGTTTTTTGAAATCACCTCAGTGACCCCTATCCACAGTTGAATTATTTACCTTTCCCAATGAAACACCCTGTATATACCAAACCCATCAGGCGTCTACCCTGGTTTCAACGAGGGTTTATCGATGCCAAGGGTTGATACTCTCCCCTCGTGATGGTACCTGTATGAAATAGAAAAATGTTCCATGATATTCGCCTTCCATAACAAATATAAAATTTGGAAAGAATATTTGAAATGAATTGAATATGATTCGTAAATAGGAATGAAACACTCATCACCGGCCGCTGGTTTCTGGTCTGATTTCCTCTTCTGTGCAATCTTTTGGTCGATTAATAACACTTCGCTTCTTTGATCTAAAACATAATTGGTATTATATCTCGAATTTGAAATATATTGAGAATTGAAATCACCACAGTATACATTATTTTCAACATTTTTAATTTCGATACAATTCCATTAAATTTTATGTGTTGAAGGATGGTATACCAAACTTCGAATGGTTTCGTATAAATAAGTCTCTACAAAATCGCGAATGTTATTGCAACTCATTTCAATACCTATTTTTAGTACTTCTGTATAAGTTAACAAAGCGAATTAATCCAACCTAAATGAATACGAAATTTTAAAACTTGTGTTAACTCATAACAAAATGGCGAATATTTTTGCAACTTGTTGCTTCAATATCCATCTAGATCCTCTGTATAAATAGGTGAAGGAAGCGAATTTCAAAAATTTTTCATCGTTATATGTGTAGTGGATAGATGAAGTAGAACATAAACACATTTAATTAATACATCGAAACTACCTAGTAAGGTGTACTCAAGGTAATTATTGTTATAGTTTTACAAAATGTTATTATAATAAGCATATCAAATGTTCAGGGCATGGTTCAGTAAAACATGTTAGTTATATCGAACACTGGAACCTATAATAATACACTATAATACACCAAACACTGTTTTACCACTAACAACCGATTTTTTACACCTCGACACCTAGATGGATGTATTTTTTAGATGAGAATAAATCTATATCTGAGTGTTCTCATGAGTATTTCTTCATGAATCGATAACTTGAGGAATAGCTATACCAAGTAGAAATATACTGAAGCAAAATACCAACCACGTGATGAATGCCTCCATATAATTATATCATACAAAAACACTTACCATCTTGAACAAATACAACTTTCACTCACTCAAATGAAAATACAATCACTAAGCCGAATATGAATTCAAATTTTCCACTCTCAAATGAGTTCTTTTTTCTTTATCACTTGAATCGACCGTACACGATGAAGTCTAGAACGAGACTGCTGATTGGTTCGATTTATCATTCAAATGACTAACTAGTTACGTCATCCTTTCGACCGATCAATTCCCAAACAAGTATGACTAATTCCGATATCGATAGTAGGTATACGGAGTGTAGTGAAAAGAAATTTGAGAATATTTTCTTTCATCTTCTTATCTATACGAGGTGTCTTTGAAATGAGTTCATATATTCAGCAAATCAATACAATATAGGCTAACAGATATTCCCATGATATCAGATTTTTGCTAATTCTTTCAATTAACGAGAAATTTTATCTTGAAACTTTAATAAAAAAACGCCTTCCGAATTGCTATAGTGTAGAACTTTGGCTGGAAAAAGAGTCTGTATTTTATTTGATCCCTATATTTTTTCTATGGGTGCCCTTCAATACTATTTGTTGAAATCATTTGGGGTTCGAAATATTTGTATTTATTCAATGTCACCTGTCATCCTGTATATTAGGCTGAGTTAGGTTAGATTTTTAATTTTTAACTTAAGAATTAAATATTGTAAAGATTCGGCGCATCGGCTGGAGATAGTCTTCTTTTTCACGCAGAAAGGACATTTTCCTTCTGTATATAGGGTGATTCATCAAGAATGGGAAATCTCTGAACTACAGATAGTAATCACCAAAATATTAGTTTGAAGAAGTGTACAATTTTTATGTAAAATTGAAAGAGCTCTTAAGATTTTTCACTTATTTTGATCATCATTCATTGGACAAAAAAGATTTGATATAATTTACCAAAAGTAACAGAGTGCCACTAGCGCCCTCTATGAGCAATCACGAAAGAAGTTTCAAATTCGCATTTCTCATGTCAGAAAACCTAAAACTACAAGATGTCATGCTCATGCAGTTGAAACTCACAAAATTATTCAGAAATTTAATAATAAAATCTCCCCTTAGAACACCCTATATCTCTGAGTTCTACATTTCTATGTCTTTATTTATTGATTTATATTTTATTGTATATTGAACTGTGATGAAGAGCACTGTGCTAATAAAGTTTGATTCGAACCAGCAAAATTCTTATCAGGCACGTTAGGCCAAATCTTAATATTTCAGTGTTTCCTATCTGTAGTTCAGAGTTTTTCCATTCTTAATGAATCACTCTGTATATTCGATACTGACAAAACCGGCACGGCAAAGAAACGAAACTGAGCGCGAGGTCGTTGTGTCTCTCTCTTCCGCGATAAACCAGGGTGGATATTCAATAGGCAAGAACATATATGCGTGAATTCAATTCAGATGTGAATATAATTGAAGTATAGTAGTATCATAACATGAATGCATCAACTTTTTGATAAAATATGCTCAAATATTTCAAAAATCACCATTTGAAAACCCTACAATTTCATGGAATGTGTAAAAACTTCACAAACGATAAGATTTCCACAAAATATACCTATATAAATAGAGAGTTAAATGTCAGAATTTCCCTAATTGTAACAACTGCCGCCTTCGGCCGTTTGAAAATATCAAGGAGCGCTATTAACAGATTTTTTTTCTATCTAGTACAAGTATACTTCCACTGGCAATAGACTGATAATTTTTGCATGGAATGAATTAGAGAATCTCTGAATAATTTCGCAAAATTGAGAAATGAGTCAGTATCCCTTACTTGATAAAAATTATTCAACACTATTCTACCAATAATTTACATGACTTCAACCTCATTCAGATATTTTTTGATTTTAGTTCAGTAAACGAACGAAAAATAGAGGAAAAAAATCGTGTAGTCGCAAATTCTTGCAGAGTGGCAGGGGAAAGTGCCATGAACAACATACTAAAAGTCCTGACCCGTAGGGGATGAGCGCGATGGTGGGGGAGCGTTCTAAGGTCATTTTCTCAAGTTATTCTTGAATAATTCGAAAATCGCGACCTCTAGCGGAAAAATATAAGTATACAAAATTGAAGTAAATAAAATTTTCAATAAAAAAGTTTATATTCACTTGTTGTAGACAATGGATATTTTCTGAGATACAGGGGATGAAAAAATCGAGAAGTATCAAAAATAGAGTTTAATGGTACGGAATTGGTGTTTAACTTGAATATTAACAGAAAAAATACATTACTCATTGAGAACAGACATAATTGAATGAATACGTTCTAATAATATCAACAATTAATCATCATCTTCATCGTCATTTTCCACATCCAGTAACGGTGCACCGTTCGTACACGTACCATGGCACATGCCGCACACAATGGAGCATGGAATTCCAGCTTTCCGACAACCACATCGTCCTCCACATCCAGTAGAACATCGGCAGAATATGCTGTTCAGGTATCGCTTCAGGTGCTATTGGATCTCTGGTTGTCACTGGAATGAGCGATCCATCCTCTCCTCTGTTCCACCCCCACTCAGTCGGGGGTAGAGGATTGTTGAGCCATTGCTGTACCTGTTGAAATATAACCAATCAATATTATTGTAGAGGCATGATACGGATTGGATTGAATTATTATACCTGTAAATAAACTCTGAATGAGTGTTGTTTGTTGCGCTGCTCCTATGGTTGGTGGCAGTGAGGCGAGATTTGGTTTTGGCTTTGTTGATGCATTCAAGAATGCAGCATACCGAAGTCTATTCAGATCCTGTTGATCTGCAGTCACTTGGTACTTTTCTAAAAATATTTTCTCGCCAGCCTGTGTAACCTTGTCAGCTTGTGTCGTGGGGTTGGTGAAATACTGCACCCACAAAGCAGCGGTAGGCCCATTCTCCTTGACATTATTCAGCTGATTCTTGAATTTATGAAAAATTGAAGCTAACCAAGGATCTTCCCCAATCTTTCGTACAGTGATATCTTCGATATTACTCAAAATGCTGAGTCGCTTCTTTTCTTGTTCTGAGATGCTGGCTCCTTCCAGAATAATCCAAGCTAACACAGCTTGAATGAGTAAATGTCCTCGAACGGCTCTGCTGTAAGCATGTCCAGTTAGGATCTTGTCAACTGAATTTGTAGCATAAACAAGGCATAATACTTCTTTTAGTCCCGACCCTGCCATTGTGTGACCAATGCACCCCATGAACGACATGAGTTTATGCTACCAGTCCTTATTTTTATAGTAAAAGCCATCATTTGATGAGAAGCAGTCTATAGGTATACATTTCATGATACGCAGGACAATAGTGACACAACAAACATGAATTGCATATCAGTAAACTCTATTTTTTATACTTTTCGATTTTTGTTTTCCCTGTATCTCAGAAACTATCCATTGTAGACAACAAGTGAATAGGAACTTTTTTATAGAGAATTTTAAGTAGTCCAATTTTGTATACGTAAATTTTTTCGCTAGAGGTCACGATTTGCGAATTATTCAAGAATTGATTGAGAAAATGACCTTCAAACACTCCCCCACCATCGCGCTCATCCCCTACGGGTCAGGACTTTTAGTATGTTGTTAATGACACTTCCCTTCACCACTATACAAAAATTTGCGACTACACGATTTTTTTCCTCTATTCAGCCTTTTTTAGTGTTCGTTGATTGAACTATTTATTCATTTGAAATTCCTTCATTTTCGCTTTTTCGTTATCAAAATACTTCTCATCTCCCTAGATTCTCTGGGATTTCCTCTCCTAGTTTCTAAAAATGAAAAATATAAGGAAACAAAAATGTCTCTGCGTTCAAAAAATGTTACTTTCATGAAACTGGGAAAAAAATCTGATTTTCATTCATATTAAAATATCTGAGAAAATTTACATTTTTTACCTGCTGCCTTGTTAACCTTCAGAGAGATTTGAAACACTTTTCACTCGCTCTTCCAATTGTCATACAATTTTTTATAATTTTATTGCATTTACAACAAAATGAGAAAATGAAATTGAATAGAATGTGATATGAAAATGTTGTCACTCTGGGAAAATTCTAATTCTTAATTTGAAGGCGTTTGACCTTGAACCAAAAAAAAATCGTCTGCGGCGCATTCTATAACGTGCAAAGAAATTTATCTCAGTTCCTTCCCCTTCCCCCCCTAGTATACACTGAAATGCCGCCCCTGCATTCCACCCTTTATTCTCGCCAACAGGAGCACGATCGACACGAAAACGCCGAACAGACACCTGAGCTGCCCCTCCAACCGCAGCGCGCCCAGAGCGCCCAAACCCGTCAAATCGAACACCACGCCCAACATCAGCCTGACCACGCCCAACATCGGCCTGACCACGCCCATTACGACCATGCCACATTACGTGAACGTGGACGTGCCGGCGATCAGGCCGCGCTTCAACCCGCTAGAAAGGGCAGCCAACGTGCCCTACGAGAACCTCAACATGGACTACATCAAGAAACTTGTGAGCGAGGGGTATTCGAGGGACGCGGTCATCAAGGCGCTAGGGATCACTAGGAACAATGTCGAAATGGCTTGTGATATTCTGCACGAGTTCGGGACCAAGTTGGGATAGCAGAGTTGTAACGGGTACCGGAGTTAGGGTTACGCGTTTCGACGAGAGTCGCGACCAGGGATCAGATAGGAACGAATAGGATATTCGCTGTAGTCCAATCGAATGGTATTTTCACTTGGAAAAAATTCAAGTAGTCGGTTTCTCTGTGATTTCATATGTTTTTGGAGGTGATGAATATGAATCTGAATTTTGCAAACAAAATTTAGTGGAGCGTTCCGATATATTCGCAAAAACCAGCAACATTTTCGGACTTTTCGGTTTTTTGCCCGTAACTCGGAAATTATACGTTATATCGAAAAGACCGCCCTATAGAAAGTTGAAGTAGATACAATTTCCTGAATATAATTGTCATTGTTCATGGATGTAGGACTAACGAGTGCGGAGATAGAACCAGTTGAAAATTGACCAAATTTTTTCGTCGATTTTCGCAGATAATTACAAATCTACGCATTCCTTGAAGGAACGAACTATACTGCCTGATGTGGAAGAGTCCTAAGCCATGTGAATTCTTACCTCTGTCAGCATGTAACTCATGACTCTCGACTTGTCACTGTACTTTAGATCTGCTCCACCTGCACCACCATCCCCAGAACCGGATCCTTCAGGGTACCAGCCCCCTGCCAAACGACGATGTAGTGACGATTAGATTTTAGATTATAGGATCACCCTCATCTGATTAATTGCTTTTTGTAACCCTAGACTTCTAATGACGCCTAATATTTTCTTGACGGTTGAATTTTCCGCCTCAACAGGCGTTATCTAGACCTGTTCTAGGGTAGTCAGCCTTTGGCGGACTGGTACATTACATGAACAAAGGTGCTCCGCGGTTTAGTGTCAGTCTCCTGTAGATCCATTTTTTTAGTAATAGCCCAGAGGGTAGTGCTTTAGCTCTTGTTTGCTGAAACTCACTAGCTTACGAATTGTTGAAGAACTCTTTCCTTCTCGTTTACGTGGAGTTGCTCAACAGTAGTAGGATTTTTCACTTCATTCTCATTTTCTGAGCTCTGTGATAAGGTGGCATTTGCTTGTCTCACAAAGAGGTAAAATGTGAGCTCTGCACTTTTTTGCTATGCGATCAGCTGCCTCATTCCCACATGAGCGAAAATTGATTCTAATACTTATTCATCACAAAATACGTAATTTTGATAGTTTGAATAGTTTATCAGTTTTTTATCAAAATGTTCAAAGAATACCCTAAGCATTTGGAATTATTGCATCGCAATTATAACAACTATAATTCCAGCGTACAGAATTTCAATTTTTTTTGTCCCCCACCCCACAGGATACAAAAACAAAACAGTAACCTATTTATACGTTTTAGAGCTTTAATGAATATAGGTTCATATGATCCAAATCATATACGTTGAATGGATGAACATGAGTGTGCCAACTACGACTAAAAGACGTGTCCAAGTCCGAGAGCTCTAACAGCCGTTCATCTTATTTCATAATGACGAAATTTCGCTCCAGGAAATTTTGTTTGCAAAATTCAGATTCGAATTCAGCACCTCCAATAACATATGAAACCACAGAGAAAACGACTACTTGAATTTTTTCCCGGATAGGGTCCTAATCGTTACCGTTTTACTGGGCTACTGCTCTAGTCATATTTATTTTGGATCTTAACGGCCCGTGAAGGGATGCGTAGAATCAAATATTACAGAGGAAGCTGTTCTGAGCAAAGTTGTTCACTGCCTACCAACTTGTACCAACGAACATAACATATTTGAATGAAGATAGTGGAGAATATGAGGAATCTCTTGATATTGGTCAGTCACACTTTAGATACTATTCAATGATTGGAGGACGAGTGTTTTGCCCAATAGCGTATTGCAGGAGAAAATAAAAAATAATTGAGCTATTACTACCGTGACAGGAGAGATAAGTTCACTCCTCTAACATCTTTTCTGTGCTATCACGTAGCCGTGTCGACTCATATTTAGCGTGTTATTCATGGTTATGAAGTAGTATTGACACTGTAGTCATCAAGACTGATATTTTGTTTTCCTATAATCATGGCCTAACACATTCTAAAATGTTTTTACTCTGTTTTGGCGCTGTTTCATGTGAAAATGTCAACATGTTATACATGGCTATGAAGGAAAATTGTAACCCTATTCAATGGTATAAAAACAAATATGGCGCCCATATGAAACACAAAAGCTGCATTTCTGACAATCCCGACTTCTTTGTCATGATTAATCAAAACTATAATATTGACAAAAGAATAAATAAAAATGAAATCAGTGGTTTTCAGTTTTTTCAAAATATTTCAGGTACGGCCAACAATTTTTCCAAATTGCAATCAACTTTCTATCTCTTACCATTTAGAAAATAGCAATACTGTCCCTATTGAATCGGCGGGACCCTGTATAGGCACTAAAGAGAGAAATATGGGAGAGATGATTTTCCTCTCCCCCGTTCACGATAGTAAAGGGCTTCCAATTGATATTCAACTGATATACTAGTTTTGTTGACCTCATTTACTTCATACCTTCTTTACTATCCTAGGCTGTCATATGTCTTATTCTTACATTATAGATCAATTTTTAGGTTGACTCCATAAGCCGAATGGCACTTGATCAACCAACCTCGTTTTTCAGCGATACAATTTTTGACATTTATAACGTCAATTATAATTAATTAATAATATTAGATTTTGACGGCACGAATTTCTGTATCAACATTTATTGTCGGATTCAATCATGAAATAGTCATAGGAATACAACTTGTAATACTATTGTGCCTTGAAATATTCATCGATTGACATTTAGCTTGCTGCTTTTATTTTTATCATTGTCATTCACGAAATTACTAGACAACAAGCTGTCGTTACAATTGCTGGTAAAATAGTATCACTTGTGGTATTACATATGATAAAATTGATTGTTGATTGAAACAACTCCATCAAAACATACCTAGATGACGACCAGATGACGAAAACAAATTTTAGAATGCCCAGTGATACATTACCAAGGCCTATGAAAAAAATCTGTTCCTGATAAGGATAAGGAAGGAAAGTTCAAAATACTTTGTTCAAGATGATTCCCTATTCTCCGAAAACGCCGTCAGACATATATTGAAGTTTGTTGCGCAGCCAATATAAAATCAAGTTCAAAATGATTGGGACTAGATATCTCACTCTGATAGTAACATTTCATTAGTTGAAATGTACATAATATGTTTCCTTCAACTAAGTCTGCTAGGACTGATTAAAAAACTAGTTTGGAATTCTGATAGTGGTAATACATAATTTCTATAGGATTTACTGAAAGAATTATTTTTGCATTGAAGAGTCGAGTATTAGAGTATTTATGAATGTATTTTAAATTATAGCACTAGAACCATTATGCAATTTTTTGATAAGCTTTGACATATCTTCTGAAAAGTGTTCAATAATAATTGGATGAGCATCATTATACTCCTAGAAACAACAAATAATTTCAATTCAAATCTGCAATTCTCTTCAAAATTAATAAAATAATACTATATTGAACTTGAGTAAACTAAAAAGTCAACATAAATCACCTTTATATTAATAATCACGGAATCACAATCACAAATTCTTGATAGTCAGTTTCAAATAAAATATTTCTAGCATGGAAGCATAAAAAAATGAATGAGGAAGTTCCCTAAAATCAGATTTTTATATTTCCATGACGTTGCCGTTTCCACTCATGTTGGAGTTCGTTGCTCTGAATATTATGAGCAGCTATTCATCTCACAAAATCAAATATGAGGTCAACTTACCTACGCCAAAATTTTGATACATTTTTGGGACAATTAGGGCTAACATTTTCAGTCTCACCAGTTGGCATACTTTTGCGTTTTATTTATCCGATTCCGCAACCGAAATCACTTTAATGTGTCGTTTCATTTGCGACTTTTCCGATTCCGGTGGCTTCTTTTCAGTCCATATCACTACAAGGAATGACGTGGAATGACGACAGTTGTCAAGATATAAAATTCGATTGACGAGAAATTAAACTTTTTGAATGTAGAAGACATTTTAATGGTGAGATTCACAAGTTTTTAATTCTTTCATAGGAAAGGTTTCATATCTTTATTCCCAGATGACATGAATGGGCGTGTACACCTTAGTAGAACTTTTAACTCAAACCATGTTTATAATGATCCTTTTATACATAAATAATGATTGACGACATAATTCGATCGAAAAATTAACTGGAATGCTTTATTTTTGGACATAATTATTTATGTACCTTCTGAAAATGGACCCTCTTATGACGTAGAAACCTCATCTCGCCATAGTTATACCAAACGCCCGACGGAGGCTGGGCAACTGATATATTAATTCTTTCAACTGTGATCTCGCGCTAATTCACTGTCAGAAATCATGTATCATTCATCTCTGTCTGGAATAGTCTTGTTTCAGAGTTAGGGTTTTGACGTCACATCATCGCCTCGTTTTCAGAGGTCCGAAGAATCGGGGATTTCAATAATTTTTTATAAAACGTAGGGAGCTCACAGCAAGAAACGGTTTGCGGTGGTGAGCTAGTTTGGGTGAGTTATATCGAATTATGAAATACAATTTTTTGTGATATAAGCCCATTCTCTCGATCTCAGAGAACTTTCTCCAATCACCACAAACACTGCTCCAAATATGCGTTGATTAATTTTCCTGAGTTGCAAACTCTAGTATTATGATTTTGAAATTATGCAGAGCCTCAATGCATAAATATAACCTCTTTGATCTATAAAATGTCAATTCTCTCATGCCAGGTCATCAAGTTTCTCGTTTTATTCGATGTTCTCTGAACATTATAGGGATTCCCTTTCGTGCGCTCCAAGCGATTTCAGTTCCCACCACCGTTACCAGAATGGAACAAATAAAACCCAACTTATAACGAGTGGTCTAGTCAAAGCCAAAAGTCCCAAATTTTGACATATAACTTTGAAGGCTGAGACTTGTTTCTTCGAAAATTGCCTGGAAAAAAGGTGTGACCTATGTAGGTAATACAAAAACTCGAGGTATGGTTAGACTTGAGCTGGCTTGCATTGTTTTCTTCTAATATGGAAATGTACCAGCAATTTTTAGAATAAAGAGAATATCAGGAAGAGGCCAAATGAAATGAAAAGAACACGTTTACCTTCCGTTCTACCGACCTTGACCTCAGTCAAAATATGTTACTGAAAATGCCATGTTACTATCTGGAAAGGCATTCACAGGTAGTATTCCGAAATGTTGACGCCTTAACAAAATCAATAAAATTATGAATTTTTGATTATTAGATTGTTGTTTGACGTTCGTTCATTATTGTTGAACACTATTTCAAATTTTCGAAACATATGCTTTGATTTCTTCTATTCAACAGTGAAGCAAGTCTGAAAATATTTATAATTCTCGGATAATGATAGTACAATGTGTGGGTACATGCAAAAACTGCATTCTTATGCAGTATCAAAAGATGTATTACTAATTATCGTTTTTCTACATTCAAATCTTTGTAAATATATTATTTTCTCAGGAAGTGACTACCAAAGTCTGTACATATTCATCCAAATTATATGTTTTTTTATTAATGTAAATATTTTGCCATGCAAAATTGATGTATGATTCGGAAATATAGATCAACATTCAAACGATTTTATTCATTATCCAAACCTTCATTCATAGATCAAAGACTCCACTTAATCTATGCTTCATTGAAATAAAATGAATAGGTAAAAAATGTATAATAATATATTAACAAAAACTCAACAATAAGTACAAACAAATCAATGGAAAATAAAGAAATGAAAGAATGCATTTCTCAGCTTTTTGCACCTTGTATAAAAATAAAACTTAAAAAAAAAATTTTATAATATATAAATATAACAATGTACCAATTCATCTTTCTACACTTTCTCTTCGAATGTTATGTGACATATAAAGGGAGACTTTTCTCAACTGATGAACGTTTTGAAACGTCTTGCTCTATGTAGCCAGTTGCATTAAGTTGAGAAAACTCCAACTAGTGATAGCAAGGTCATTTCACCATCAGAAATGTCCTTGCGAGACTCAATATTTATCAAAATGAGAAGCATTGTGTAACCACATGTTACCCAATTCAATACATAAAATCTTCAGTTCTGAAGAATCATTGTGGAATCCAAAAATGTTACACTAACTATTTGCTTGAATGGCCTTGTTTGGAACAAAGTATTCCAAAACTTGTTAGATTTTGCGATTAAAAAATGTGACAAAATTTTTATGATCTTCGGTCATAAAATAAAACTGAAAAACTCAGTCCTTGTATTCACATTCCACAGAATTGATTAATTTTATGCAATTTTCATTCCTGGACAAAAAAGCTCTTTTTAGGCTAGATCCCTGAATATTTTTACTCCCATGACTCCCATAAAATCTTCAACAGTAGTATCAGGATGTTCTGAATATTCCAGATAATTCTGTCGCACGAAATTGTGTTTGCCGAGCAAACAGAATTGAGTTAACAATGAGAGACAGAATTATGAGAATTTATTCAGAGAGTGGTATTTTGCTAGACCATTTCACGAAGCACAAGACGGAAGCATTTATTATACATGAGCAAGCCCTATTCGCGAAATTCACGAAGTGGGCGACATCTAGGTTACATAATACGAACTTCAAACTGGGGGAAAACAAACTATTGTCTATGGATGAAGTGCATAGATTACATTGCATACATCTTGCTGTAGCTGTAGTTGTCAAACTTGTCAATGACATAAAGTGTTATCACTGTTATCAGTACACAGTACACAAGCTAATGGCACTAATGGAATTTAGTGAGGATTGAGTTTGTTTTCCTCCAGTTTTGACATGGAACGATGAAAACCGAGCGCCACCTGGTGACATTGATTCCCGCGAATAAACAATTCATTCTGACATCTACAGCTATAATTAATTATAGTCAAACTGACAGACCTTTTCCCCCTGTCCATGGTTGCATCATTGAAAACACCAACGCTGATAGACCAATCACAATCAGATTGAAAGACAACTATTGTTTTCCCGATAATACCAGTTGTCTTTGGCTTTTAGTTGGCCAGATTATGTGAGATAATAATAATAACACTTCAAAGTGTTTTATTGTTACCCAATAGGCCACCGACCTGAGACTTCAGCCTGGATTATGTGAGAATTTTTTCAAGATGAGTGAAATAGTAATCCAAATTCGACCACATAGCCCTCCAATATGAGAAGAGAAATAAATACATGGTTTTGATTATACAGGGTGAGTCAATAATGTGTTCTCCTTCGATATTAGCCAAACCGTCAGGTATATAAAATCTATTCGAATACAACAGTTATAGGATTTTATGAGAGCTATCACATAAAATTATTTTCATATCTATACGATTTTCGAATTCCATGATATCGGCTGATGATGGGTGTTTTTAAATGGGACACCCTGTATATCATTGCATTTTCAAATTTTTACTGAAAAGCTGATTTCAGCATTGCTTCACACTTTGGTTCTAGCGGAAATGATTACAGAGATATAGGGTGTTCAGAATCGAAAATTTTCAAATTTGGGTTTTTTTTGTGTCAGAACTATTCATTATTGGTCGAAACGGCTCTCATGTTCCTATCTCAACATTTGATTCACTATCTACTGAAATTGAATTGAAATGTTGAACCACCCTGTATTTGTTTTGATTAAGTGTCAGTAGATGGTGAATCAAAAGTTGAGATAGGGGCATGTAAGCCGTTTAGACCAATGATAACTAGATATATCACAAAGTTGAAAAATATTGATTTTGAACACCTTATATCTCTATAAACATTTCAGCTAGTCTCCCCAAGTGCGATGCATTGATGAAATCAGCTCTTAAGGGAGAATTTGAAAATGTATTAACATACAGGGTGTCTCATTTGAAAACACCCATCACCAGCCGATATCTTGAAATTCGAACTCCCAATAGATATGAAAACAATTTCAGGTGATAGTTCTCGAGAAACCCTATAACTGTTGTATTCGAATTTTTTTATATATCTGACGGTTTGGCTGATATAGAAGGAGAACACACTATTGACTCACCCTGTACAGGGTAGCGAAGTTTATCTTACCACCCCATTGTACTTATACTGGCAAAAATTTCAGAATATGAATTTATAATAGTCATAATAGTGTCTCTTTTGTCACTTTGATGGTCCCCTCCTCATTAAACAAGTTATAAATAGGCGTTGCTATAATCAGCAGCTTTGTTAGACAACACTTTAGGCACCTGGCATAAAAAGTGGTTATTTTTTTGTCCTAAGATTTAGGTAACCCTTCAATATCAGATTTTGATACTGAACAAAAGGTCAGCCATTTTCTAGAAATTTGTATTCCTGATTATTTCACAGATACATATAAAGACTAATGAAAATTCTTCATTCAAAATTCAACTTATTGATGGTATAGAATCGATGAAATTGATGGAACCATGGCATTATGTGTCAGTTATCAGTCAATGTAAAAAACTTCACAAATTATAAGATTTCCACAAAATTCCTAATCACATGTTTCACTAAAACAGTAGCTTCTTCAGGTGAAATACTGGTACAATAAATAATTGACCTGAAGCAGCTACTGTGTTAGCAAAACATGTCATGTGATTGAGAATTTTGTGGAAATCTTATCATTCCTGAAGTTTTTTACATTTACTATGGATTTCTATCAAGTAACGACCGAGTCAATTGAAAAAGAAAAGTTATCAGTCAACCCAAATAATTAAAATATTTGTGAAATTATCAGCAAGAATACAATTCCAGCCATTAAATAATTAATAAATATCACGTCTGTCAGTTTTTTTTTCAAATAATGCTCCTCATTGTCAACAACCATAAAGAAATGGAAGAAATCATCTATTCACCCCCTTTGAATATCATGTACATAAAAATTTACACTAAAAAACTAACATTTCTTGTTCTTGTCATGTAAGAATGTGTGTCAAGTAAAATAATACATTTTTGAAAAATCCACAGGACTCCTATAAAATTCATATGATATAGATATAGACAGGTACAGAAAATTGTCAAGTTTTTGAAGAAGAAACTATAAAAATGAGATGAATACTAATATATAAAAAAAATATTTTCTTTGTGATATCTATCTAGCAGAAAAAAAAAAGAAAACGATTGATTTCCTAGCTGATACCAACCGAATTGTGGATTATATTAAGCATGGCAGTCATATAGCCCTTGTATTTTGAAAAACATCCAAGTTTCTGTACCCATACGAAATTGAGCAAGTATTTCTATATCTTCAATAATTTGTTCCTAAACATTCTCACCAGTGAAAAAAACATCCGAGATCTAATGCTATACAATGAATCATGAGTTTTTTTAACACTTACATTCACTACACAATACCCAGAAAATAGGTAAGAGCACTTTATTTTTCCTATTGACCAGCAGATAAAAATTCGGATAATGCTATCAATCCAAAACTAGTAATGAAAAACAAACTTCCTGGTATACTTGCCAGCAACCTGTATCGCTCATCTGTAATAAAATAAAAAATGTCAGATACGAAAATATTTCAGATAAGTTTTTTCTAGACTCTTATCAACAATGGAAATAGTGTAGAGTATTTTTACATCAGAAGAAATATCACGAAATGTTACTTTGACTTCAAGCCAAATTATTTTTTCATTTTATTTATTTATCAAACATATCTTCCAGTCAGATCAAGTTCTGGTATGAGGAAGGGCATTATTATAAAATAATAAGTGAAAATATCTATGAACTACTACACGAACATGAGTAGAAGTGAACATGAATAATATATCATAATAAATCAGGATATCCCAATAAAACAAAACAATGAATGAACAAAGAAAATAATTCTAGTCAAAGACATAACTTACTAATGCATTTTAAACTACTCTCAGAAATGATCAGTTTTTTTACTTTCTTTTTAAATGTACCTATATTTCTGCAGTTTTTAATTCCATCTGGTAGTTTATTGAACTCAGATAAGGCTGCATGAGTGAATCTTTTTTGTCCGAGGGTTAGAGTCAAAATAATATTAGATTTCAATTTTTTATTTATGATATTGTATGTAATTTTCAGTCTCTAATCTGTACAGTTCTTCTAAAGAATATGTTTTTGTTAAAGCATGCAGTTCAGTTGTTGGTGTATCATATGGAAGACAATACAGTACTTTTAATGATTTCCTATATAATGTTGATATTTCATTAAAATTATTTTTTATTATTCTTTTTCAGCTGTGCCAATAAGAAGTTTATAAAAAATTCGGGATTAATTGCTATGCCGCCTGTGTGCAAAAATAAAAAATAAACAAACCTGTCATAGCACTTGTCCTCTTGGGTAGGGCCCAACCAAGAGACCTTTCTACAGCCATTTTCCATTTAGTATACCTTGCATTCCTCTCTGAAAAATATATCAATGAAATACATGAACATTGGAGAAATTGAAAATTTGGTTTCTTTGAAATATTCTTCAATATAGTTTTCCAGAGATATTCATGCAATAGCCGTTGATCTAGAAAGTTCGAAGCAGATGGCACTGGTGAGGTTGGAGGTTATTTGGGCTTTATACAGGGTTACAAGGTGTTTCTTAAAAAAAATTACCGGCCTCTTTTTAATCATACGATTTGCGTTCGTTGATTGATGGTGAATCAAATTTTCAATGGAATTAACAATAGAAAAAAAAAAGGAAATTGTTTTGTGAGTTTGACACTTTTTTTGGAGGTGAGTTGCAATGAGGTGAGTTGTTTTTCCTTAACAACTTATTGTAAATTATATTTTTTACAGGTACTGTGTACTGATGTGTCTGAAACTAGTCACAATACATTTTGTGTAATATAATTTTTGTGGTCGACCGACTTGGTGAATTTCTGTTTTTCTTTGATTACTCGCGTTCTCATAAATTTTCATAAGCTCAATGAATGTGACAGAGAAAAAAGTTTAGATATTGGGAACTCACACCCATTGAGCCGGCATCGGTAAATTCGTCATGATAATCCCTAATAGATTATGGAACTAAATACAGGGTATTCCATTAGAAAATCGAAAAATGAGGCCATTTCAGGTGATAGAACAAAAATTGTTTTGTCAATAAATTGACAATTTGGTGTACTAACTACCCGCCAATTTGCAAAATCCGATCTCGAATGATTCAGAAAATACCACACATTTTCGAACGGTTAGAAATTTACCGCCAGTAAAAACTGACGTCACGATTTTGTAAGTAGGGGTAGACCATAGCACAGTTGCCATGTGTTGAAATACGATTGGGAAGTTCAGAAATATTAGTTATTCAATAATTCATAAATTCTCAATTGAGTATTGGTAATATTCCTAATTAGCAATAAAAATTCAATTGTCTCAAAATGTTCCCTTATGATTTGTGGCTTATTGCTTATGATAAAGGACCCCGCACCATTTACATTGAAATCTTGTCTACGGTGAGATTTTGTGAAAATCTAGGATTGGATTGATCAAATCATGCTGAACAAGAAATGTCCTTTGGTCCAAGGTCGGTTATGCCCGTTAAGATAAGTTATAAGCTCTTGAAGCCAAACGAGATAACCTCTACCAGAACAGCACATCCTGTGTGTAATATGGTTTTGGCTAATATATTTATGAGTTGTCAGATAATGGCCATTCATGTTATTTAGTAAAAGTCATTGAGCAAAAGCGTATTACTTTGTTCAAATACGTTGCAAGTCTCGATCGGGGACTATTAGTGGCCTTTCCGTATAACGTAAACCACCAATCAATGGTCGCAATAAAATATTATACCATCAGCGTTGACATGTTCCCGACAAGATTGAGCGTTCGAAGGGATAAAATATTATTTGTAATATAAACATTGGCTCTAGCAACTAATGATAGGTGAACTGAATTATTATTTGCGCCATAAAATATGCACACAGTTGCATGGATGGGGAAGACAACATTCAGGTTCATAGAATGAACGTTTTCCCGAAATACTATCAGGAAGAGCATTATACAGGGTGGGTCACGGTCGATGGCACCTTAGACGTTTACGGAGAACGGGACATTGAAACAAATACAGGGTGGTACAGAATTCAAATTCTTGATCACCCGGTATATGTCCCAACTAAATATCAGTAGATAGTTAATCAAAAGTTGAGATAGGGACATGTAAGCCGTTTTGACCAATAATGAATAGTTTCGACAAAAAAAATTCCTCAAGTTGAAAAATGTCGATTTTTCACACCCCATATCTCTGTAATCATTTCCGCTAGACCCCAAGTGTGATATATCGATGAAATCAGCTCTTCAGAGATAATCTGAAGATGCAATAAAATACAGGGTGTTCCGTTTGAAATAACAAAGTTGTTGCTACTTTTCGATAGAAGCGGCAACGCCGCATAGCTGAAAATATTTTAGATCGATAGATCAAGAGCAATTACTTGAGTAACCAAATTTTCATAATGATCTTATGTCCCGTTCTCCGTAAACGTCTAAGGTGCCATCTACCGTGACCCACCCTGTATAATCTGAGGTCATGAGAATTTTTTTTGTGATTTGCTGAGTTTGTAACGTTGAGGTCTAATAAGATCACTGTTGCGTGTATTGTGATTATGTAAACTGGATTGCTTAGGAAGCAGGGGAGCTTTTTTGTGGATCTCTACTATACTCGTATAAATATACATTGAAGGTACTGACATTATTTTGTGATTTATGAATGAATCACGACACGAATCTCTGTAACCAATTCCAACAAGAATTCTCAAAGCCTTTTTTTGTAACATGAAAATACATTGGGCATCACTAGAATTTCCCCATAGTACGATCCCATAAGAAATATGAGATTGAATTAGTGAGCAAAAAACTATTTTCAATGTAGTGGAATTAGTTATAGGTTTTAGTTATCGAAGTAAAAATAGAGCACTCGATAATTTACTTTTCAAACCTACAATGTGGCTGGACCAATTTAACCCATTGTCCAAGGTGAAACCCGATAACTCAACAGTTTGGAACTCAGGTAATGGCTGAGCCCTAGATATCACCTCACCATGTTTTGTGATTTATCGTTATTCATCATAAGTTTATTAACGGTAAGCCAATAGTTGGCTTTTCCTTGTATTTCCACAGATTTATCAGCAAGAGATGAAAGATTTTTTGAGGAGTAAATGAGGGATGTATCGTCAGCAAAAAATACACTGTGACATGGTCATATAGTTGTAGAGATCATTAACATAAAGTAACAAACATTAGCGGACCCAATACCGATCCCTGAGGCACACCCAAGTTAATTGGTTTCAGCTCAGAAAGTTCATTGTTATAAAAAACTGCCTGGAAACGATTATTTAAGTATGTTTTTATTAGTTCTAAGGTAATTCCTCTAACACCATAATATGAAAGTTTTTCGAGTAATATGGGAATTGATGTCATTCATATAGGCTTTTGAAATATTTTGTTGCATAATTTTTTATTATTTTATCTATTTTGTGTACTAACTACATTTTGACCAGTTCTATGCTTGCAATCGATTTTCAAAAAAACAAGTCAACACTATCTATCTATATTAGCTGTCATAACCTTGCCAATGACTTCATCTCTACATGGAAATAATGGAAATGATCGCCTGCAACATTTCAAGGATTTCAAATTTTCACTTACCGCTGGATGTCGATGTTGGCAGGAATGTATGGCTAGGAACTAATTCTCTTTCTTCTCGGTTGATATCCCAAATTTCGATGCCGGCAGCTGCACCCGCAGCCATTGCCGTGCCCAAGGCGGTTATATCTTCCGATTCAGCCCTTATCACAGGTATACCACTAATATCAGCCTGAAATTATGTCAAATATAGGTATTTAAGAATCAATGAACTCATGGTATTGCAAATAACACTAAGAATTATACAAGGTTCGGCAAAATTCAAGTTACTATAACGTTCGACTTTACTTCGAATTTGAAACAGAAAAATTTGATACATCATGGAGGCAGATAGGTATACAGGGGGATTAATTAAGAATGGGCAATCTCTAAAGTACACATAGTCAACACCTAAATATGACGATTTAGCCCAACATGCCTAATAAGAATGTTGCTGTTTTAGGAGAAGGGGAAGATTGTATCTTGAAACATCTCAATAGCCTGTAAGTTTTAATAAAATAACAGGAGAGCTGTGGAAAAAGAGCAGATCCGTATTATGTCAGACAGTCAAGCGGCACTTAAGGCAATAGAAGGCCAGGAAGTGACATCTCGACTGGTATGGGATTGCAAGAGGGAACTGAGAACTCTGGCAGACCGGAACTGCGTCAAGCTAATCTGGGTGCCAGGTCATCAGGGGATCGCTGGCACGCTGGCAATGAGAAGGCTGACGAACTTGCAAGAAGAGGGTCGGACAACGAGCCAGATCCAGGACAGACTCTTGGAGTACCAAAACGTACAGCACGAGTGTCAGTTAAAGACTGGATTCAGGCAAAACAAAAGAGCTACTGGGAAAACATCCCAAGAAATAGACACGGGAAACAATACATTAAGGAACCAAGTCATAAACGAACTGTAGACCTGCTCAACTTGAACAGAGCACAGATAAAAACTGTTACGGGACTCATGACTGGCCATGCGCCAGTAAAGGAGCATCTCGCCAGAATGGAACTGTACAATGGCGACCCAAGCTGCAGACTATGTGGCAAGGAACCAGAAACAGTAGCACATATACTGTGCCGATGTGAGGCATTGGACCGCAGAAGACAGAAGATCTTTGGGCAACCAGTTTGCGAACCAGAAGTATTCAACTCACATCCAGTGAATGATTTGTACAGACTTGTTCAAGGTACAGAGATAATGGAGTGGGCACAATAAAGAACATTAGGTAAGATACAATGGGCCACCTTAGGCCTAAGTGTCGTCGGAGACATGGTCAGACGAGCCTACAAACGGGGTGGAGTTTTTAGTTGGTAAAACCTGGCTAGAGTCAGGGGAGTCCCACACTATCATATGGGGGATTACCTGAAGCCCTGAGATTTGATAGTACCATAGCACTATTTTTCAAATTGCCTAGCTTTAACGGTTTTTGCATTCACTCTTGAAGATATTTGTTTCACTTGTAACATTTTTGTTATTTAAAATTAAAATGTTCCACCAGTTATGAAAAAAATTGAAATATTTTTTTTCTTTGAACACCCTCTGTATCTGCAACATTTTTATAAGGCCCATTCTCAATGAATAACTCTGTATAAAGAATTCACAATGCAATCTTTTTTTCAAGATAAAGATATTATAACCATATATTTTCCGCTTCAGCTCTTATCACAGGTATTCCACTAATATCAGCCTGAAATTATATCATATATAGGTATTTCAGAATCAATGAACTCACGGTTTTGCAGATAACAAAACACTGAGAATTATACAAGGCTCAGCAAAATCTCAGTTACTTTAAATTTGATATATTATGGAGGAAGATAGATATACAGGGTACAAATAGTAAACACCTAAATATGAAGATTTCGCCTAACATGTCTAATAAGAATATCGCTGGTTTAGGAGAAAGGGAAGATTTCAATTTAAAATTTCTCAATAACTTGTAAGTTTCAACAGCCTGAACCTGAAATTTTGTAGTTTTAGGTTTTCTGACATAAGAAATACGAATTTGTAACTTATTTTGTGATTGGTTATAGAGGGAGCTAGTCGCAATTTGTTATTTCGGTAAATTACATCATATCTTCTTTGACCGTCAAACGATGATTGAAATAAGTGAACAAGCTGAAAGCCCTTCAATTTGACATAAAAAATGTACTATTTTTCAAATTATCTAGCTCTAACGGTTTTTGCGTTATTCACTCTTGAAGAGATTGGTGTTTCCCTTGTAACATTTTTATTATTTTAAATCAATCTGCACCATTTTTATATGGCCCATTCTTAATGACCATATAGTTTCTGATTGAGCTCTTATCACAGGTATACCACTGATATATACAAGGGTGTTTTTGACATAAGTGCACATATTCAGCACAATAATATGAGACAGTCTAAGGAATATTCCCATGATATCAGATTTTTTCTAATTCTTCTAATCAACGAGTTTGATCCCTAAAAATTGAACAAAATACGAGTAAAACATCAAGTACGCCACTTTAAAACAATTTAAATGATTGAACTCCGCATGATTGTGCCTTCTGCACGGAAATTTGAACAGAGGTGACGTCAGAATTTCTACAGAGTGTAGAACTTTGGGTGGAAAAAGGGGTCTAACCTCAAATTTTATTTTGATCTCTAAATTTTTTGTATTAGTGACATTCGATAATACACGTCGAGCTTTCTCAGTGTTTGAAGTATTTGCACTTATTTCAATGCCACCCTGTTTAATAATAAAACCTTAAATCTTGAAAATAATCCAAAGGAGGTAATGAAAAACTGCTTTGAAAGTACTAGCTTATTACCTGTAATTGCATAAGCAGATTATTAGCAGTCATTTTGCCATCAACATGGAGTTTGGACAGTGGAATTCCACAATCTTTTTTCATAGATTCCAGAATGTCTCTTGTTTGGAAGCAAACAGCCTCCAGAGCCGCCCTCACTATGTGTTGTTTCGTAGAGAAAGCAGTCAATCCACAAATTATTCTAAAAAAAAAATAATCGTTTACACTCACAAGCAACAACATGCCAGAAAAAAAATTATCCAGATTGATCACCCTGTAACTTTTTTAACTCGTTTCAGATTCTGGTGAAATTTCGACCAAATCATATATTGATGTTTAGGAATGTTGGATCATTATACATGGAAAAACAAAAGTTACTCTTTACTCTTTCACCCTCAACTTCCCAATGCCCTATCTTCTGTTCACGTTAAGAGAAGATACAAGCGTTGACAGAAAGTATGTTTTTTTTTCAATAATTCAGAATAAATGAATTAACAGGGTGAGTCAGTTTTTTGTAGCAGGACTTAAACAGCTTAAAGGAGACATTTTTTCAAGACGGAAATCTTATATAAGCATATTTGCGTGGGAGCTTCGTTTCCGATATACAGGGTTTCAAAGGTTGCAATTTTGTTTGTGTTTTTCGAATTTCCTCCTACATTTTTCAGAACAATGGATTGAAATTTGGTACACATATCACACTTTGAAAATGAAATATTTTGGGCTATAGAGCATACTTGAATACCTACAGGAGTACAGGATAATACACTTTTAAGGGTCGTACCCGAGTAAACCCTCTCGAGCTTTTTTGCGTACTGCCTCTGTTTTCTATGGAACATCAATTCAGATTCTCTATTCAATTTGGATACTTTTCGCTTCCTTTTGTTTTTTCGAAAACTTTATGGGTTCAAGATAAATCCCAAAAATAATTTACTTGTAATGAAACTTTATTTTTTGAGTACGTATTTTGTAGCAAGATTTTAACAGCTTAAAAAACACACTTTTCTAAGATGAAAACCTCATATATGCGTGGAGGTTTCGTTCCCGATATACAGGGTTTCAAAGTTTGAGATTTTTCTTGTGCTTTTCAAGTTTTCTCAGACATTTTTCAAAAAAATTGATTGCAATTTGGTACAGCTGGTACACTTCGGAAACTTAATATTTGGGGCTATCGAGCGTTCTTGAATATCTACAGGATGTTACACTTTTGGGGTCGTGCAAATTTTGGAACCCTGTATATCCGAAACGAAGCTCCCACACATATATGTTTATGTAAGATTATCGTCTTGAAAAAATATCTTCTTAAAGCTGTTGAAGTCCTGCTACAAAAAACGGACTCACCCTGCATAATCTCACAATGGAGAAGTTCAGAAAATCATCATTCTACTTATAAAAATAATGTTTGCTAGCCCCTGAATATAGTTTTTCAAGTATGTATTTGTTCCATATTTTTTCAAATTTGAAGGCATACTATCTTTTTAAAAAAATGTTTCCATACACAATACATTGTAAAGGTTCCATAATATCTAGTAATGAGTTCTACCTACCCTCTCGCATCTTTCCTCCAATATGGAGCATACAATCCTTTGAAGGCGGGAACGAAATATACGTCGCCGGTGTTGAACACCTCTTGAGCTAGCGATTCGGTATCTTTTTGTACATCCTGTATGAAACCCATATTATCTCTGAGCCATTTTATGGCAGCCCCCGCGACCGCCACACTACCTGAAAATAAAAGTTTGGTTGAAAAAGATCATAGTCAAAGTAATGCTAAACAATTTCGAAAAGCAAACTGGTAATGTTATGCATTTTTTTCATATTTGTTTCTTATTCTTTGGGAATAATGATGATATAAATAATAGTAACTCGAGATATTTTTATCCAGTGAGAGAGATTGTAGATATTGGCGATGTTCTATTTAAATCTAATTATTTTACGGTTCAGAGAGCAGTTTTGCTTCAATGTCGAAGTGAATCTTAAAGTTTTGACTTTAGAGCCAGGGATGGGACCTGAATATTGGTTTATCAACTGATATTACTTGGGATTGATGTAAATACTTTCCAAACTCTATCGTATGTTCAAGAAGTATTCAATCTTATATATCGGGAGTGAAGAACATGTTCTTCAAATCTCGTGCCTATACTTCGAGATGTTTGCCCAATATATTCCATATTCCATAATTACCTGACTTACCTTTAGTATTATCGAAATGGGGTTGATGACTTCTCAACGGTCATTTTGATTCAAATTGAATTTTGGTCACATGAAAATTGGACTAGTATTCATGAGGTTGAATTGGTGATGTTGATCAAAGTTCTCTATAAGAGCAGGGACAGACTAGCTTTAGCACTTATTCTTAAACTTTTCAAGAGCAAATTTTTGAAAAAATTCAAGTGATATCATCAGATCCCCCGAAAAATGTTTGCATCAAAAAGGTACTCCTGTTTGATATTGATGAACCTTACAGTTTTCTAGCAAAATCAACATAACTGCGGAGAAGCACACAAAATAAGGACAGAATTAAATAAAAAGCATCTTCTCAAGGTTGCTACTATACCAAGTGAGTCAGAAATTTGTAATGTGACTCATAAGCCAACATATCATTCTACTAAAGGTGATAAAAATCCAGTGTAACTAGATTGCGGGTATCATGAAAAGAATACAGTATTTTCGATTGCCTCAAGAAATTCAAAATAAATTGGTCAAATAAAATATAATGGGGATACATTTTCAAGTAGAATTGATACATACCTTCTAGAGCATATACTGTAGGTGAGTTGCCGAATTTATAAGCTACTGTCGTCACTAATCCTTGAGTGGAAACTTTCTGTAATTTAAAAATGCCAATTAGTAATTTTTACTATGAAATGGTTTAAATAACTAACCGATGTTCCAGTGTTGTAAAGTAAAAAGCAGCCACTTCTGTAGGTATTTTTTGCTTGTCCCTCTTTCAAACACCTCTGTCCAACCAAAGATGCCTGCTGATTCCCCAAAATCTGAAAATTGAATTTATCGGTTGTTACCAAACCGGTGACCAAACACACTATCCGAAACCAATAGTCAAATAGTCATTTATGCAGAATAAAAGAAGAACTAATGTTTTGTGAAAGAAAATGAGTAAATTTTTTCATATGGCAACACTGTGAGCGAAATTTCGTCAAGCAAACTAATGAAATAGCAAATTGATTAGTTTTTGATTCAACATGCGAAAATTTTGATTCATCGCCAATCAGGATTCCTTTTAGTAATTCTTTCAAATGACATTCTTTTTCTTGATTATTCTTTCAAATTTTGAATAGGAAATTCTACTTTTTCAAATTACTATTCAGTATAGAATTACCTTTCCAACAATATACATGGTGATTCAAAATACGATGTAAATATTTTAAGAACGTATTGTTGGGATCAAAATGAGACTATTTCTTCAGTTGCTGTAGCTTGGATGGGGTGAATTTTAGTTTAAGGACACATATTTAGATGAAGAAAAAGTCTTATTTTGATCCCAACAATATGCTCTCAGAATATCAAAATCGAATTTTGAATCATCCTGTATGACAATCATACTGTCAATCTACAATCTAATCATGCAATAAGATTTTACAAAAAAATAATTTTTGGATTCCCCTCGTAATTTGTAGGAACATACATCATTTATAATATCCCAAGGCTATTGATAATTTGGAAATAATTTGTTATGAGAATTTATCAATAGTCGAGGGATATTCAGTAAGAACATTTTTTCATAGAATTGTAATCGATCCATTTTCGGTATTTCCATATCTACTCGAAGTGACTCACCTATTGAAAATTTGATTGAGTTAACGTCAAACTATGTCATTACCATGGTGACTCAATTTTTCAACAGAGACAATTTACTGGGGCACTTATCAGTTACTGGTCAATTGGTCGCAAATACGTAGATATGATAAATTTAAATTACATGGAAAATTGCCATATTAAATATTTTGTTGCATAAGATTTTACAGTTTCAATAATAATTCTAGACCCATAGGAACAATTCAATGTCATAGCCCACTAATATGAAGTTGAAGGTGAGAACAAACATTGGTTTGAATAATCCCTTCTCTAAATGTCTTGAAACATCAAATACTGTGCCAATAAACCCGATGTGTAGACGTATCTATTGAATTTAGTAGTATTCTTATAGTCTGATATATGTCATATAGGGTAAGAAATTATTTATTGTTGAAATTTGTATATAAATTGAAAACAATAAAGCATATAAAAAAGGATCAATACAAATGTAAGTAGGTATAGCATGGAGAGTACCTACATTAAAACTAAATAGGATACAGAAATTTCCTGTTTTGTATTTCAACATGTATTGGAGTTTGTAACCAACTTCAAGAAATCCAATAAAAGCATTAAAAAAAAAGAGTTCATTGGTGTTGAAAATGAAGAAAAACAGAAATTTGTAAAAAGTTAATGTGCATAAAAATTATTGTGTAAAAACTTTTACGTCGAATTATTCTGCACATGCTATTGTTTCATCATCCATAGCACACTTTAATGAAAATATTCCGTTACAAATTGTTCTATTATATATGAGTAGATTGTGATATATCATTGGAGAATACTGCGTTGGTACTGAATCGTAATTTCCAGAAAAAAAACTTTGTATTCGATGCATTACCGGAAGTGCCATATTTGGTCTGATCAGCGAAATGATACACTCATAAAATCAAATCGATGTACCAAATTCGAAATATCCATTTGAAAAAGCAACGAAGATACAAGGGGGTAAATACCGGTATATTATGTTGCAACTGTTGCTAGAAACTTACCCCTGATATCGTCACCCCTTCCAGGGGAAACCCTTCAGCTATGCAACCGTATTTCTCAGAACTGCTCTTGATCTCTGGCAGAACATGGACGGGTATATTGAAAGCATGCAACAGCTGTGGGTCCCAATTCAGTAGGTCGATGTTCATGAGGAATGTTCTCGAAGCGTTCGTGACGTCAGTGTAGTGTTTACCGCCGTTGACGCCACCTGTTAAATTCTGAAATTCCGAGAAAGGTCAATGCATTTGACGCGGGCTACTAAAAACAAATAGGTGACCAGATTTTGCGCCAGTGTTCCCGAAATCGGAGCGAGAAAAATTTAGTAATGGAGTATAAACTCTAAGCAATTTCTACCAGTGTTCAATTAAATGAACAACAACAATTTTAGATGGAGAGAGAGAGACATGATTACTTTCCTGGCTAATCCTACAAAAAACTCCAAACTCTAAGGTTCAACTAGGTTAGGTTAGGTTAGGTTAAACGTGAGTGGGCTCATGTCAGGCCCTCCACTGCGGCCTATGGCCTATTGTGGCTCACCCTATGGTTATATATCTCCCAGTATATCTAATCTCTTGACAAAATTAAGGAGTACGTTGGGAGAACAATTTATCAGGTTTTCTGGCCCTACTGTTGTATTGCCAAAAGTTGAAAATCTGATTCTGGTCGCTGCAGGGCATGTACCGGGTGTACCAATAAGAAAGGACGCCGGCTGTATCTCGGAAACTATTTGCCGCACAGGTTTCGGAAAAAAATATTTATGATAAAAGTGGCCAAGAAAAATCTCTGGAAATTATTTTTAAGCTTCCAGCACAGCCGCTAGAGGGCATAATTGCATTGCCCAACTTAAAAAACGGGTTTTTATGAAAATTTTATATATCAAGACATATCAGAAACACTTTTTCCATGTTCTCGAGTTGATTTCCAATCATTTCGATCAAAAAATTTGCGCAGCTTGGTGTAACGGAATTGAGCGATCTTGGTCTCATTATGAAGGGTTTTTCCAGATCTTCCCGATAAACCACGAATCAAGTCGATTTGAATCTCGTGGTGGCCGCTAGATGGCATCGTTTGAAAAATCAGCCGATTCGCCATTTTTTTTCGAGAATTTCGAATGGAACCATATATTTTTTCTGCTATGATATGAAAGTTGAGTAAACGAGAAGAAAAATGGTGAAAACCGCGAGTTGATACCTCTTGAAGAACCGGAGAAATACTTGGAATAATATTAAAATTTAAACTGTTAGCATGTCAAATGCCTCCTCATTCGTTATCGGCATTTGGACAAATAAACAATCCACAATGAACAGTGAAAACTTCCAATGGAACTTCAATTATATTTTGACGTTTCTTTCATTCAAATTAGCTATGCCATTACTAAGAGTCTCCTTCACTATTGTGAGATATAACAGCAGTGTGTGAAACCAAAATAAATGAATTATTGAAATCATAATTTCATAGATACAGGATATTTCTGATGACGATCATTGAAGTTAGATTCCTGTGGTGAATATTTTCATAATATTATTTCGAGTATTTCACCGGTTCCTCATCTCGTTTGCTTTCATATTAGAGTAGAATGAATATATAGTTCCATTTGGAATGTTCGAAAAAAATGGAAAATTGTCTGATTTTTCAAACGATGCCATCTAGAGGCCACCACAGGATTTAAATCGACTTGATTCGTGATTCATCTGGAAGAACCAAAAAACCCTTCATAATGAGACCAAGATCGTTGAATTCCGTTACACCAAACTGTAGTAATGAGAGTTTTTTCAAAGTGATATTCATCCTTCCCTCTCTCTTTTATTTAAAGAGCTAGCGCATTTTTTTATCGAAATGATTGGAAATCAAGTCGAGAACATGAAAAAAGTGTTTTTGATATGTCCTGATACATCAAATTTACATAAAACCCCGTTTATTAAACTGGCTAATGCAATTACGCCCTCTAGCGGCTGTCCTGGAAACTTGAAAATAATTTCCAGAGATTTCTCTTGGCCACTTTCAACATCATATTTTTTTTCGAAATCTGTGCGGCAAATAGTTTCCGAGATACAGCCGGCGTCCTTTCTTAGTGGTACACCCGGTACATAGAATATGTTTAGCCGTCTCATCATCCTCCATGCATAGACGGCACTCTGCATCTTGTGCAAGTCCGATATTGTGCATGTGGTGTTTGAGTTTGCAGTGGCCAGTGAGCAAACCTACTATAACTCTGAGATGTGCTCTACTGAGTTCTAGTAGTTTGTCAGAGCATTGTCGATCTAAATGAAAACCTAGTAGGCGACCTAGTGCGAGGAGGTTATATCTAAATGAAAACCTAGTAGGCGACCTAGTGCGAGGAGGTATAATATTGTCTGTTCATTCAATCAAAATATGTCAAAATAGACCATATTAGGTTGATATTCCCTTCTTCTATTTTTCTCCAATATGTACTCAACCACAGATGTGCTTTCCATCATTGACGTGATATTTGATACAAAGGCGATGAAGAAGATTCTTTCATGAGATTGAGATGTCATAATCAAAAAATTATTTTCTGACAGTTGTCAATAACTTATAACTTCGTCTTTGTGAATATGTTATACTTTGAACTCGTATTCTTGGAAATTACAATTATTCCTAATTATTTCTTCTAGTATTGGTTTTCTATTGCAGTTTGTTGATTGGTTTGTGAGTGCGATTGTGTTATTTTGCAATGTTATCTGAAAACTTCGCACTCCAGGAGGTGGAGGTGTAAAATTATCAAGACCTGGTTTCCCCTATCCTCACTGTTGTGAATTTGAGCCACAAATCCTGAGGCATCAATGAGTTTATGCCATATTCATTGGATTGCAAGGTGAAATTTTTTTCTTGAATCGCATAATATTACGGTTTTGGAAGGAGGGTTCGGTTCCAAGTTTGTTAAAGGAAGGTATATATGAATGAAATGATATTTAACAAGTTCCTACCTATACAAACTCTTTGTAGCAATCAGCTTATTAGTTTCTAGTTGACTGGAACTATTAGTTTCAGTACAAAAATTACCAAGAACTTGACTTTGGGACCTCTAAAAATTGTTCCATAGTCAATAGTCATTAAATTCATTTCAGAATGGTACAGATCATTGAAACTGGGGACAAAATAGATATCAAATATTTTTATAGTTTCAGACTCATCAATGTAGTTTGGAATATGATGCTGAAGAGGAACTCCTTCCTTAAGGAACACGACCTGAAGATTAAGAAGCATCTGATGAGGAAACGGGCATTTGAACAGATATTATAGAATGATAATAAATAATAATGTTTATTCAAAATGATTACCTAATATAAATTGGAAAGTTATACATATTGGTATTGAATATTCCTATGGAAATTAAAAAGTTATACATATTGGTATTGAATATTCCTATGGTTCAATTTGTGGCAATTATAGACACATCTTCCCATATTTAGTGAAGTTAGTGGATAAGATGATTTTATAAAAAATAATCATTGTTCAGCAAAACATATATTTAACCTATATACCTTTGGTACAATATATATAGTGTTTTCAAACTTACCTGCCAATACATCTGTACAACAATAAACAGGGTATCAGAGGAGAACAAATTAGTAGAATAAAAATTGCAATAATTCTTCATAATCATATTCAATTTATTAAAAAATATATTTGTATTGTCATTCGTACATATACAAGTTATTTTCCAATAAAAATAAATTCGAAATATCCCAGCATCTTGATATTATGGGTTTGGAGCAGAATATCCATAAGACATTGATGAAATAAACAGATTGAGTCTAACCTTATTGCTTCTATATATTCATTTCAGATGGGAAATTTTCCATTCTGTTCTCAAACATCATCATCCTTCTGGTACATTTCTCCTGAACATTACTCACATAATGATTCCTGATGTGATTCTTCCACATCAATTTGTTTGTATCACTCATAGTTTTTCGTTTTTCAACTGAAAAGCTATTCATGTAGGTACTCTTCGCTGTAGGTAGGTACCTGAAATCTTCAAGTATAGTGATTCCGATGTGTACATAGTTTACATCACTACAAATAACGGTATTCCATGAATTATATAGTAACTTATCAAAAATATAGAAGGAAATAAGCAGCCCCTACCTTTCTGCTTGGCTTGCATGTCGAAAAAGTGTAAAAGCACTGATGAATTTCCGAAGTTTCCACAGTTCCAACTTAAATTCAAGTTGCATCATAAGTCAACTTGATACAGCATTGCCTAAACATCTCCATGCTTCCATTCAAGTACAGGTAGATGGTTTTCATACTTGATAATATCTTTCGTGATAATGTTTCATTTTTGGGTTTCAACATGACAGATTTTTATTTACAAACTTGACAGGACCATGAAAAATGTTATGGGTTAGGAATAAAATATGAATAACTTAGTTTACTTAGTTCACGTAGATGTCTCTGAACTACATATTTTCTTCAATTGTCTTTTCAATGAACAGACAATATTATAGCTCCTGCCTACTAACTACCTAACTAGGTTGTCATCTAGAACGACAATGGTCAGAGTCCTGTTTGTTCCTTGTAGAAGCAATGAATGCTTTGGAATATGCTAGGCCCGGTAGACTACGCCAATAATCGAGTCTTTTGTTGTCGGCCCAGGATGTTATAACATTCTTGACCGTGCTGTGGCTATACCGATTACGATGTTTAGGCCCCCCCTTTTGCTAGGACGTCCGCCATTTCGTTCCCTTCTAGGCCCGTGTGACCCGGTATCCAGACTAGGTTGACGCTATTGCGTTGTGCCAGTCGGTTTAAGGTTTCTCTGCAGTTCCATACTGCTCTGGATTTAAAGCAGTTGGATTCAAGTGCTTTCAGTGCTGCTTGACTATCTGAGAATATCTTTATTGTTTTTTGTGTGTGTGGTGTCGATTTTCCAGCTCTCTTGCACACATTTCAATGGCGTTTACCTCTGCCTGGAATATCGTAGCCAGTTTACCCATACTGAATGAGCGTTTCACTCCCATAAGGTTCAACTATAGACCAGTCTCTATCTTGGTCATCGCATATTCAATTGCCCAGAAAAAAATATCTCCCATTGTTGGTATATTATACAAATTGAGGTCTTCTATACCTCTTGAATACTCGAAATTAATTTATTTCAGTTTGATTTACTCTAAATTGCAGTATCTGATATCGATCTGCAGCAAAATCTGTTTTGAAACCTCTCAAATCTCTTCAAAATAAAGCCATAATA